CTGCCTTGTGGAAGCACTACCGCTGTATGATTCAGCATTATGAGCCATAACTATTAGCTATTAGAATATCACTGTACTAGACATCCTGGCTGTCCTGAACAGACAGGTCGCTGAATTTCTGCTAATTTTTCAAATGCCAATATCATTATGCAGGCATCCTCAATGCATCCTGCAGACAATTGAGTCAAATGGTTTGCAAAATTTATTGATGATGTAGATGTGAATATGTTCTGATGGCACAGACCCTTCAGTCATTTCTACTGTAGAACCCTGTCATAGGACATGTACATTTGCCTGCAAAACCTGGACTACTGGATGCCGGCCGGTCCATGTAACACCAGGCTCAGCCGATGCTGTAGGACCCTAGCAGGCCGATGCCTCACATAAAAAAATATCAGAGGTGTAGGAAGGGGCCGGCCTGCATGCTCCTGCCTGTCATATCCCGCGTTCTGGGTCTGGACCTATCACACTCATCATTTCCAGATTTCCGGATCCGGCCGACTTCTATGTATCGTCCAGATCCGACCCGCGTCTAACTTCCGTGCCTTATCCCTTTGGTATTTCCCTTATCAGTTAGTACGCTTTATTTTCTGTCCCTTATTCATTTCCGTCTTCATTTTACTAAGTTCCGATAGACTAGTGATAGTCGTCCCATATGTTTTCTCCATAGCTTTACATAGCCTCGCACTGCACTTACTGTTCTCCGTTATGTCCTCAGTAGTATATAAACCCTGTACAGTCTCTGTAGTTTCCTCAGTTCGAATATCATCTTAGACTCTGCTCATTCTCTCCTCCGTCTGACTTGAGTTTCTCTCTCGTCGACCTCCACTTGTCTTAGGATCGATTCCTATAGACTTGTCACCTCCGCCTCTACCTCTGGTAGTCCTCCGCTGTTTCCTTCTAGTTCGGACATCGTCTGGATTAGTCTTATCTCTTGTTCCCGAACGTCCGCCGGAATTCCCACACATCGGACATCGGACTCCGGACATCGCCTGACGCCCTCCGGACATCGTCCGGTAACCTTCAGACATTGTTCGACAGCCTTCGGAAGTTATGGGCACGTACTCGGGTAAGGGGCACAGCACACGAGCTGAAGCCAAGCCCTTCGGATTCGACCTTTGAGCACGTTCTTAACACTGCCTTATGATTCATTTGACCTGCCTGCCTCTGCAGTATGTGAAAGGGGGCCGGCCGGCCAGGTTGAATTTTAGCAGAATGGGCCAGCCCTGATGTGCAGTGTGTAAGAGGAGGCCGGCCGACATATGTCTGCCAAATGGTGCATTTGGCCTACCTGCCTCTGCAATATGTGAAATGGGGCTGGCCAGCCAGGTTGAATTTTAGCAGAATGGGCCAGCTCTGATGTGCAGTGTGTAGGAGGGGGCTGGCCAACATATGTCTGCCAAATGGTGCATTAGGCCTGCCTACCTCTGTGTTATATGGAAGGGGGCAGGCCAGTTGCAGATTGAATTTCACCTTTGTGAGCCACATGGGTCAACCTGTATATACAGTATGAAGAAGGGGGCTAGCTAGCATACTGCTACCATGATGGCCTGCCTGCCTCTGAGGTATGTAGAAAGTGCACTCAACCTCACTTCAAAGCTGCAGTTGATGTAGCATTTGAGTAAGCTGTCCAGAAAAATTTGCAGCTTTCTGGTGCCATTTTGGTTTATCCGAGTTTGTGGCTGGCCACTTTATACAGACTGCACTACAGTCTGCAACAGCAGGCTGGCCCATATGAAATGTGGCACCATGTGACCAGCTGTCCACCTCATATATAGTCACAGCCAGAATGGCTGGCCCAGCATATCAGACTGCAATATAAGCAACAAAACTATTGCAATGTTGGGATAATCAAACTGTGGTTGATGTGGTATTCAAGTAAGCAGTCCAGAAAGATTCAAAGTGAGGAACATTAAGGCTTAAAAGTAGCCACAATCATGTACAAAACAAGTTTGGTGCATGTCACTGTCCAGCAAGCTGGAGTATAGGTGAAAGTCAGGTCGGCCGGCCCAGTGTTACATACTGCACAGCTCGTCTGGCCAGCTCGGGTATAGAACACAGCCAGGCCGGCTGACCCAGTATTACAGGGTGCAACAACAGGCTGGCCCAGCCAGACTTTGCCAATCTTATCAGACTTGGCTAGGGTATTTGTTAAGAACGTGCTCAAGGGTCGGATCCGAAGGGCTTGGCTTCAGCTCGTGCGCTGCGCCCCTTACCTGAGTACGTGCCCCTAACTTCCGAAGGCTGTCGAATGATGTCCGAAGGTTACCGGACGATGTCCGGAGGGCATCGGGTGATGTCCGGAGTCCGATGTCTGATGCGCGGGAATTCCGGCGGACGTTCGGGAACAAGAGATAAGACTAATCCAGACGATGTCCGAACTAGAAAGGAAACAGTGGAGGACTACCAGAGGTAGAGGTGGAGGTGACAAGTCTATAGGAATCGATCCTAAGACGAGCGGAGGTCGACGAGAGAGAAACTCAAGTCAGACGGAGGAGAGAATGAGCAGAGTCTAAGATGATATTCGAACTGAGGAAACTACAGAGACTGTACAGGGTTTATATACTACTGAGGACATAACGGAGAACAGTAAGTGCAGTGCGAGGCTATGTAAAGCTATGGAGAAAACATATGGGACGACTATCACTAGTCTATCGGAACTTAGTAAAATGAAGACGGAAATGAATAAGGGACAGAAAATAAAGCGTACTAACTGATAAGGGAAATACCAAAGGGATAAGGCACGGAAGTTAGACGCGGGTCGGATCTGGACGATACATAGAAGTCAGCCGGATCCGGAAATCTGGAAATGATGAGTGTGATAGGTCCAGACCCAGAACGCGGGATATGACAGTATTGGTGAAAGCCAGGTGGGCCGGCCCAGTATTACACACTGCACAGCTCGTCCGGCCAGCTGGGGTATAGCACACAACCAGGCCAGCCAGCCTAGTATTACAGGATGCAACAACAGGCTGGCCCATGCAGGAATCTCACAACCAGTCTCCTCTAGTAGAGTAAGTCTGATTATCTACTGTTTGAGCCTCACTCATTTCAGATGCTCACCTTCTATATCTATAAGTGAAAGAAAGTGCATCGTTTCTGTTGCGAGCACAATCATTTTCATGGCAATGATGTGCTCGCAACAGAAATGATGCACTTTCTTTCACTTATAAATATAGAAGGTGAGCATCTGAAATGAGCATTATGAAAATGATGTGCTCACTACAGAAACCATTTATTTTCTTTCACTCATAGACATAGAAGGTGTTGCACTCTGTAATACTGGGTCGGCCGCCCTGGCTGTGTCCTATTCCCACGCCAGCCGGACAGATTGTGCAAAATGTAATACTGAGCTGGCCAGCCTGGTTTTCACCTATACCTCAGCTTGTTGGACAATGACATGCACCAAACTTGTTTTGTGCATGGTCATGGCTACTTTTAAGCTGGACTGCTTACATGAATGCTGCATCAACCACAGCTTCATCATGCCAGCAAGTCTGGCTGGGCCAGCCTGTTGTTACACCTTGTAATACTGGGCTGACCAGCCTAGCTGTGTGTGGTATACCCCAGCTGGCTGGACAAGCTGTGCAGTATGTAATACTGGTCCGGCCGGTCTGGTTGCCACCTACACCCCAGCTTGCTGGACTGTGTTATGCACCAGACTTGTTTTGTGCATGGTCATGGCTACTTTTAAGCTGGACTGCTTACATGAATGCTACATCAACCACAGCTTGATCATGCCAACATTGCAATATCTTTGTTGCTCATATTGCAGCCTGATGTGCTAAGCCAGCCATTCCCCAGTCGGCTGGACAGGCTGTGCAGTTTGTATGAGGAGGACAGCTGGTCATATAGTGTCATATTCTATATGGGTCAGCCTGCTGTTGTAGCCTGTACCTTTGAGCCGGCCAGCTTAGCTGGCACTTATACCCCAGCCGGCCAGACGGGCTGTGCAGTATGTATACAGTGGCCAGCCATCCATCTCACATTGGCCAGCCTGCTGTTGCAACCTGTAATATAGGGCTGTCTGCACACCATCATGGGCTGATCTACTATTACAATATTTGGGAGAGGACACCTAACCTCATCTGGTATGTTTAGAAGTCAAGTAATTATATTATGAAGCCATCTTTAATATCAACTTGTCATGCTCCATTTTCCTTGAAAACTCTTTATGCCCTCAGCTGCAAACTCAGCCCACATGGAAGCCTGCTTTTCAGCATATGCCCTATGCCCATTCTTGATGCTTTCATCTGCCCTTGCTCTCCACTCCAACTCCTGCTTCTGAAACCACCATACTGTCCAACACATTTCATGCTGTACCAACTTCAGCTCTTCGCTCCAATGGTTATATCGTGCTTTTGCTTTCAACCAATTCACTCGATAAACTAGGAATGGGGAACATAAGCTCAGTACCTTAATAAAAATCAGATAAGATTAAAACTCACATTCATTCATCCACTCGCTCTTCTGGCTGTCCTCTGCACTGTTGATTCTCCAAAACTAAGCCAGCCTATCAGAACCCTGACCATGCCTATTTTCCTCAGTGACTTCTTTGCTTACTGTAAGGTCCTCAGCCTTTAGGGCTTGATAAGATAATATTGTATCAGAGTTAGCCACCAATTGTTGCATTGCTGCCCTTGAATGTCAATATTCTCGAGCATGTTTGTTGATGGCCAAGGTGATTTTTCAAAGTTCCTTTGTTGATCTAGTACCCTGATGATGGATTGATTTGTTGGAGTGTAATTTCTCTCGAAACACCACAGATCTGTCACCAAGGGCTCGACGAAGCTTTTCTAGGCAGTCATTTGCTTAACCCTTTCGAAGCTCCAGTTCTTCTTAACATAATGGCATGACAACATCATTCATGATCAGATCAGATGTCCCCCATGATAGCATCCAAAGTTCAGCAACCTCTGCAGGTGAGTCAGCATCATCTCCGACGTCCAAAATACTGTCTTCCCCCAGCTCTTCAATTCCTGGAAATTAGATCCATCAGCCTCCTCCAGGCACAGTTCAGGGTCATCCTGGTGCAATCCCTCTCCCTCTTCCAATTCCATCCCATTTGTCATAACCAATGCAGTCTCGTGGAACTTATTAATGCGAGACAAGAGCTTCTGCCTTTTTTCTTCCATCAGAGTTCTCTGAGAAGCAGTTGGATCCTCTGGCAGTTGTCTTATAGAAGAATGTAGGCCATCTCTAATAACCCAATTTGAGTCAATCACACCTCAAATATTGAACACCTTACTGAGTATTTTCTATGTTGATACCCTCGATCAACCATGCAACAGCCCCAGTCCTACCATTGGTGGACACTTCGTTTTCAGTCAACCTTAGCCTTATTTTAGCCATAGTTGGAGCTTTTGATGATTCATAATCAGGTCCAATCAAAGTTGAATTTTACTGAACCTACCTTTATCCATTGTAAGCTGATAGATGTCAAGAAGCTCACCACAGTGACGAGCTGCTAGTTCAGCTTCCTTCTTCCATTTCTGGATATTGGCCCGATCAAGAGACTTCATCAATTCTTCGTATAGACCCTGAGTGTCTTTAATGCCCTGTATGGCTTGAGGATACTTTTTAAGTAATAATTTGACTTTTGAAGTGTTCCATTAGTCAAAGTTGACATCTCAGAAATAAAGGGGACTTGCCAATTCTGACAAGCTTCTTCCAATTAGAATCCCTCATATGGTCGTCCAAGACTTCCTGTCTGTGAGAGAGTCATGGACCTTGCAGTTGGGGAAATCTTGTTAAACGGGCCCAGAGGGTCTCCAAGATTTCCCCATCAATATGACCAGCTCCTGTAATAAAATTGAGGCTGAATCTGGGAAAGCACAGTAGCTTATGAGCGCTTAGATGAAACTTGCCGATCACTGGCAATATTTTGATTGATTGAGGAAGAGAGAGGTGATAGCTTTGATTCACCCGTTCATGGAAGTGGATACTCCACTGGCATGCAACATCATAGATTATGAGTGCACTGCCAATATCTTCTGATGGATATTTCAATGTGTTGCAGATGGAATAGTCCATGTTCATTTGCCTGACTACATAGTCAGCCCAACATCATAGTACAACAATGCAACCAACATACCTCTCTCCCTTTTGGAAGTCAACTACTGCATGGGGAACAAAACATCCATGCCTAGCACATGCAGTTGCCCCAACTCCTGTAGCTCTTAGGTTGCTTCTCTGGACATTGGCTGCATTCACAGCACGGTGATTGCTGCAAGATGATTTCTGAAATTATATTAGACATCATTTCTAATGAAACATGTCACGAAATATGACAACTCGCCTCTTTCTCTTCCACAGATTCTATTATGTGAGTTTCATAAGGTCCTTCTGTTACCATGTATCCCTTTCTGTCTGCTAGTGAAACATCATCTTCTGGAGTCTTCATCTTCATATGCTGAGCTGTAAAATTTCCATCGACAACATATCTTTGCATGACCAACCAACTGCCGACCACAAAAATTAGCTCAGTGGGCAGTTGTTGATGAACCAACTTACCTGTCATAGGTATCCTTCCAAGAAGAAGGTAAGTTGATGCCAGGCTGGGGACATGCTGGACAATAAAGAGCTAAATCCCCTGGACCAGGAGATCTGTCCGACTCATGTGCAAAGCCGAACCTTATTCTATTGACCAAATCCCTTCATATACGAGACACCTGCATAAGTTCACGGTAGTGATCCTTTTTATCATGTAAGCATGGGGTACAATGATGAAGAAATTGCTCACAGGTATTGTATGAGGGAAAGCATTGTTGGTAAAACGACATAGCTTTTGATAGAAACTCATAGCTGAGGTCTTGCACTCCAAAGCATCTATGAGGAAGTTATCTAGCACATCGAAGGTAAAAGCAGATTGAGGCTGAGTGATGCTGGCAGGAAATAACTTTGCTTTTAGCAGATGTAGATGTCTGTCCTTCTCAGCTCCAGGACACTGACACCAGGATACACGGTGTGAGTAAACTCCAGTGGAGTGCACAATAACCAGGTTAGACAATCCCAACTGCGTTTCATAAATAGTATCCCCCTCCCTGTGTGCAAACACATCTTCCATGGCTCCAAGATCTGACCAAGGTGATGGTGAAGGTACAACTATTCAGAGAGTGAGTCTGAACAATGTTGGGTCTTGCAGAACCTAGCTGCTGTTTGACCCTAAAGGGTTTCTGGACCAGGCTCAAGGCTCAGAGGAGAGGAAATATCATGAAAAACTGCTGAAGACTACTCTGACTCCTACTGGTAACTGGTGAAAAGATAACTTCCTTATATAAGCTACAAAAGTGCCAACATAAGGTAAGGTAAAAACAGTCTCTACAAGCCCAGCCAGAAATGAATCCCTACAACAGGTTTGACTGCTGTAATGCATTGGGGCAAGGATTTCCCCCATGGCCAAGATGCATTATATACCTGTGGTCCCGTAGGGTAGTAGACTGGTAGAACTTGCCATTCCAAAGCTGAAGGTTGTGGAAGGGGTTGTGCTGGTGGGCTCTGACAGCACATGAGGAACACCAACTGTGCTCTCCTGAGCAGGACAGACAACGAATAAAGCCCTCCTCTCCTCCGCAATCCTCACATTTCCCATTGTTGATTAGCTGTTCCAACTCCAACAACACTGAAAGATATTCATTGCGCCAAGGCAAGTATTCCTTGAGGAAATCATTTTGGGTCTGTAATGTTGGCTAGTTTTCAAGAATAATTATTTCCACAGAACTCACTTTTGTCTTTCGTTGGATACCATTTAAGCCTCCTGTCCCAAAATCATCATATATCTCTCTGTCATAAGTGACCAGTGAATGATCTTCAATATTCTGGTGGTGTTTTTGTTTCACCGGTGAGGTCGGCTCCACCTCACTGTCATAGTCTTCATAGACAGTATCGGCTTCTTTCCATGAAACATTTCCCCTCCGAGTTTTAGATAAGATGTATGTATATTTATAAGCACCTCTTTTTCTCTTTGTTGGCTGGGCATCATCAGAAGATATTGCTACTCTGGCCCTATTCTTCCGTCTTGGTGTGATTTTTGAGGTCATTGAAATTATGGGTTTGTTCAAAGGTAACAGAGGTCAGAGCACCACATGAATTTTGGCACAGCTACACAATGATTCCACCAAAAAAATAATTTTGGGAATTTCCCAATACTATCTATCTCCTACTCCTTATCCTCTTCCGACTCTTTCCCCCTACTAACTCTAAAAAGAAACTCTGCATGGGAAATGATGGCCTTGGCACCCCAACTCTGTCATGCACAGCATTCTTCATGAAATGGGCAATTACAACTCATTCTCCATTAAGCCAGGGACCAACAGAATGTTCTAGCACCCACCCTGCAATATAGACCATTGCTCCAGGGGAATAATCTAGTTCTGCATGGATGTCTGCCAAGGCCAAAGTGGCATGATGATTTCTTCCTAGAATGACCAGGAGATCAAAAAGGGATGGGGATCCACCAGCATCTCTGTGGCTAAAGGTAACACGGTTAGCAATAATTTCAAGCCCTAAAAAGATCGAGGGCCAAGAGTCCACCGGAGCAGGGTTCTTTTTTTATCCATGACGGACTTCTTTGATGGCCTGAGAAAATGCAGAGTTGCCAGCTTGAAAAAGATCCGGAGCCACAACTCCGGTAATGGCATTCCATAGAACTTCTGATGTTGTCAAGGCAGCTAACCATTGTTGGACCTTCTCTGATTTGTAAGACTCTGAGGTCACCAATGGATCCACTCGTCGCTAAGAATAGAGTTAAGCCTAGACCCAATATATATGACAAGTGAAAATACAATACCTCCCATCTTTGCATGAAATATGCAGAAGCTACTGTGATTCTACCAGCCCCAAATTCCCCTCCTTCAGCTGGAACCATATATCTATCATCTCTCCAACTTTTGTTGACATTTTTAGGATCAACAGTTTTAAGAAGGGATTCTCTCAAGCCACCAGTGATGTGATTGAGATGCTCCTAATTAATTAATCAGCCCTGAGGGAAAATCCCCAACCAGAAACATACTATGCGAGAAGCTGTCAAAATATCAGGGAGATGAACTACCAAAATTTTTCCGTGCTTGTCCACAATGGTTGCTGGAACTGAAATTTTGCCGAGCACAGCCTCAGGGAAGAACTTCTTCAGTCTCTCCGGTTCAGCAGTTGCTGACCCATCCCTGTTGGGTTGTGACAAATTGACCTTGTCAGCATATCGGTCTACATCCCAATTGACATTGACTGTAATTCTCCATTAAATTTCATGTGCAACCCTAAATATTAACCTACTCACTAGGGTTGACCATGGCATGTGCAATGGTCAGGGCGGCCCGGTCAATTTCATATTCAGAAATTGAGGTATAATCAAAGTTCAAGGTATCACCAGGTGATGCCAAGCATTGCTGTAGCTGTACTGCTATTCTCATCCTTGATTCCCTCAGTCATTAATAGCTGGCTGCAATTAATACAGAACCATAGTTACCTAGCTTTATGCAGCAATTCTGTTTGAACTTGGTCATCTTTTAGGACCCCTAGTTCAGATGAATTGCCCATTATCTCTCTGGTCCTCCTGTCAAGACTTGCCAAAACCTCAGTTGTCTGGCTTTTGACTTGGTCCATGGAGTGAAAAAAAGTGAACCAAAGTTCTCGCGCTCCGGACTCATGTTGACTGAAATTCATTGTGATGTAATTAGAACACATGATGTAATGGCCAAATACACCCTAATTAAATTTTAAATTGGACCACATATAGCTAGTCTCCTCTAGTAGAGTAAGTGTGAGGCTCGAACAATAGATAATCAAACTTGCTCTACTAGAGGAGACAGTAGACAATTAAACTTACTGTAATTGTGGTGTTGTCAGCGAGGCTGACTAGATTAACTAGGCTAGCTCTACTTCACTGAGAACACCATGGGGGCAGCCACCCTGTGCCATGAAAATGATGTGCTTACTACAGACACCATTCACTTTCATTCAGTTATAGACATAGAAGGTGAAATACATAGGCTCGACCAGCCTATTGTTTTCTATATCTAATAGTGAAAGAAAGTGAATCATTTCTGTTGCGAGTACATCATTTTCATGGCAATGATGTACTGGCAACAGAAACGATTCACTTTCTTTCACTTATAGATATAGAAGGTGAAATACATAGGCTCGACCGGCCTGTTTTTTTCTATATCTTGAGCACATCATTTTCATGATGCTCATTTCAGATGCTCACCTTCTATATCTATAAGCAAGAGAAAGTGGATCGTTTCTGTTGCTTGTATATCATTGCCATGAAAATGATGTACTTGCAACAGAAACAATTCACTTTCTCTTGCTTATAGATATAGAAGGTGAACTACATAGGCTCGACCAGCCTGTTGTTTTCTATATCTATAAGTGAAAGAAAGTGAATTGTTTCTGTTGCAAGTACATGGCAATGATGTACTCGCAACAGAAACAATTCACTTTCTTTCGCTATTAGATACAGAAGGTGAGCATCTGAAATGAGTGAGGCTCAAACAATATATAATCAAACTTACTCTACTGGAGAAGACTGGTTGTTAGACCGTGGTGTTCTCAGTGAGGCTGACTTGATCAGCTAGGCTGGCTCAACCTCACTGATGACACCATGGGCGCAGCTGCCCTGCCCCTTCACGAAAATGATGTGCTCGCAACAAACAGATTGTATTCTTTCATTAGACACTAACTAACTAACCCTAACTGTACAAAAACAATTCATTTTCTTTCATTTTCTTTCATTCATGGACATAGAAAGTGGGCAAATAAGTGAGGCTCAAAAGGTAGACAATCAAACTTACTTTAATTGAGGTGCAGTCAGTGAGGCTAAATTTTCAACACTGGGGAAGCTGTATATCATAGCAGGCGCATGTCACCTTGCATCACTCTCACGATCATGTGACTTAATTTTTGGGCAAAAAGTTATGAGTCACATGTCCAGAATATGCCCATACAAGGGTGATACATTTAGTCTATGTCCTACACCAAGCAAAGTACCAGTCCATGTCGAAAAAACTAAGATAGAAAAAACTAAGGTAAATGATGCAAGACAGGGATGGAGGGGCCCTCTCCATCCTAGCCTTGCACCCTACAGTAAATGAAGCAAAGTAAAAAAGTAAACTAATAATGAGCCAACCGTAGTGATAGTTAGTATGATGTTGAATATTAAAGTGACACTTACCAAATTAAACATGTTAAAAAAAATGGCAGGCGCATCAAGTGCAGACCACCAAAACCATGGAAAAAATCAGTATCATCTTGAATATTGAAATCACACTTACCTAAACAAAACCGCTACCAGACAATGTGTGAGAGAAAGCTAGAAAAAACACTGTTAGTACAGAGCAGACTTGAAAACAAAACAAAAAACAAGCCGGAAAATTCAATGGATCTGATAAAGCTAGAGAGCAGGTTAGTAGATTAGATTTTAACAGGAGAGACAGATATATGAAGGCGCCAGTCCCTGGGGACATGGATGGCCAAAAAATATCCTTCAAAGCCCAAAGTTAGAGGCGCCAGTCCCTGGGGACATGGATGGCCAAGAATATATCTAAAAAAAACTAAAGAAAAGTGAGCTGCTGGCAGAATGAGAAGACTCACCTTTAAGGTGCGCTATCAAAAAAGTTTGATAGCGCGCCAGTTATTAACAACAACTGCAAATAAATATGAAAAAAATTAGTATTGTCAAGCAGATGTACAAAGAACTTACTTGTTATTATGGCCTTGATGACTGCAGCGCTGCCTTTGACTACTTGCAGCTGCAGTCTGCAAGTAGCCAAAGGTCAGATGCAAAGAAGGTATGGTAGAGTAAAGGAGGATGGGTAGCGTTGCAATACATGGTTGAAGTACCATTTGTTGATTTGTTCTTGTTTGCCGGAATATCACGTGCACATTTGTGGTTGGTTTTTGCGTACAATTGTCTTTTGTGGACGTGTCTCTATTGTCAACGCGTCTCCTTGATCACTTGTAAGTTTCATTTCTTTTGTTTGTGACTATGTGACATACTGACTACTATTTCAGGCCAACTTTTGCTCAACGCGCGTGTTTTGTGGACGCGTCTCTATTGTCAATGTATCTCATTCGTCACTTGTGAGTTTTTCTTTTGTTTGTGACTTATGTAACATACTAACTACTATTTCAGGCCAACTTTTGCTCAACGCGCGTGTTTTGTGGACGTGTCTCTATTGTCAACGCGTCTCCTTCATCACTTGTGAGTTTTTCCTTGTTTTTGTGACTCTGTGACATACTAACTATTTGTTTCAGGCCAATCTTTCATCAACACACGTGTTTTGTGGACGCGTGTTTATTGTGAACGCGTCTCTTTTGCTACTGGTGAGTTTTTGTTGTTTTTGTTGTTTTTGTGTGGCGCTGTGGCGTACTGACTACAATTTTAGTTCTATCTTTCGTCAACACGCATTTTGTGGACGTGCGTCTCTTTCGTTACTAGTGAGTTTTTGTTGTTGTTGTGTGGCGCTGTGGCATACTGACTACAATTTCAGGTTCTCTATCATGGCGCGCACCAAAAACACTGCAAAGAATTGCACTGGTGGCTCAGCGCCATGCATACACCTCAAGATACTCAAGACCGCCGCCAAGAGCCTTTCTAGAGAGCCGGATGGGGGCCAAAGTTTGGAGATGTCCAAACCGGTTCATCACAATGAGGTAAGTCTTTTGTTTCTTGCTGTATGTGTGCTAATGTACCGTCTTCTCCCCAACAGTTCTGTATCCTCTGCCGGGATGGCTCTGCATCATTTAAAGAGAATACACTCTTTATGTGCAACCACTGCCCCAGAGTGATGTGCCGCCTGTGCATGCGACTCCCTCCGGGCACCGAAGACACGATCCTCAATGAGGACGTGTCGTTTAGGTGCATATGTTGTCACATCGCCATGGAACAGCAGGGCGCACCCTACTATGTAAGTGTTTTGTTTTCATTATTTGTTCATTCACAGCTAATACTATGACAGGGCTTCTATCATGCTAATGGTGTCCCGGTCCTCGAGTCTTTCCTATAGGTCCACGCTTCCCTCGAGCTCTCATCGTGTGCTGAACTTTCAGTGGCACCGGTGATATTCATACACCTCATCCTTGTCGACTTCGACACTATGGCCAGCCCTTTCTCCTTGGCTCATTCATTCCTTCAGCCCTACTTCACCAGTGGCGGCATCGAATATCGTGAAATCACCTTCAACATTGTCTCTGATGCATCCAGTTACCGCAAAACCGTTCATCAAATCATCAAGGACCTCAAAAACTCGTTTGCATGGGAATGTGTGGTGGTTGGTATATCCACTCACACTGACAATGATTCAGGCAACCCTTTTGCCGGGTACAGTTTGGATGGCGAGAAGCACTATGCTGGCGCTTCAACTGAAGAGGTAAGTTTTTTGTTAAATTTTTCTGCAGCTGATTACTAACTACAGACTTGAAGTTCTTGGACGGTATCCTTAGTCCATGGCAATCTCTCCTGGACCATGCTGACGAAACCTACCTGTGGCTCTTGTGCTGTGGCGCAATTGTCAACAACAGCGACTCATTTGTAGGATTGCAACACGCAGTAGTTCAGTAAGTTCATTTAAATTGCATTTCTTATTGTATCTGACATTCCAACAGTCACAAGCTCTCTGCCACAGTCGCATTCAACGCCGCACATTTTCAACCATCTTTTGCATCCCATTTGCTCCTGGCATTCACTGAACAAGTTCTTGTGGAACATTGCCCCATTGGCCTTGCATTTGGTGACATGCTGGCGCAAGCTTACAAACTCGGTCGCCACACTGATGTCTTTTTACTGATACCACTTGTGGGTAGTCTGAAGGTCTCCAAGTTTGTATGGGCTGATGTGAAGTTCCGGCCTTGGGGCGGCTTCCTGCCAATCCAATGCCCAAGCTGTGGGTGGACTGATTGTTGGAGATCAGTCTTTGTGAGGGCTTGCAAGGATAAGGTCTATGTCTTTGAGTGCAAGAATGACACCTGCACCCAGTCTTTCAGCTTCAGCCCTCCTGAAGGGGCCACCATGTTGACACCAGGTAGGAAGCAAGGGTGTTCATGGATGCATGTACCTTTGAAGCCATTGTTGACTTGATTATGTACATTTCTTACTTTGGTTACTCAAATTTTGTCACTTCATATATGTCTTAGCTTTAGACAATAATGTTTGGTTGTTTGTGAATGAAACTTTGGTAGATGCACTTTGTGGATTTTAAATATAGTGAAAATTGTAAACATAAATGTCACATGACTGTGTTTGTCACATGACCGTGTTTGTAATGTTGAGTTTTTCAACAATGAAGTCTTGTCCAACAGTACATCTGCAAACTTGTACTGGCCTGCATCCCTGTGATTCTTATTTGTCAGATATAATGGCCAGCTGGACTCTTGTTTTTAGCAATGTGTTGAATGAATACAAAGATTCCTTTGTAGCAGCTAAAGGAAATTCTGTCATCCGGGCTCGCATCCTCAAGACAATCAAAGATGCTATAGGCAGCAGTGAAGCAGCCAAAGACCCTTGTGTCATGCTTCCTGAGAAAAATTTGGCCAAGGTGAGCTTTTATAATTGTGTTCTATACTAATCTAATTAATACAGGCTGTTCGTGCCTATTATTTGGACTTCCTGGAAGATGATGAGGATCGCAAAGCAGAGGAAGAGATTATTGAGGGAGGAACTAAGGACACATCTGCTCCAGATGCTGTTACTGTAGAGATGGTGAGACAGAGGGAAGATGATAAGCCTGAGGATGCTGGGAAGTACAAGACAGAATTCTCTGGTTTTGATGTCGTCCAAAAATTATTTAAGGATGAATTTGCAGAATATGACAAGCAGCACAGAGATACCTCCAACCCAAAGTCTATGGGTCAGAGGACAAGATTGGCCCGCATGTGGCACCAGGCCATGTCCCCTGAGGTGAAGAAGGAGCTCGAGCGAGTTGCAGGAAAATGGAACCAGGAAGGACCTCCTGCAGATACCAAGGACAGGTATTTTTTTCCTAACATTCTATTGGCATACATGCTACACAACTCAACAATATATCAACAGATACCGTACCCATAACCAGAAAAAAATGATGGAGGACTTTATGGACATGGTCCGGAGAACCATGGGATTGCATGTCGTCATCCTTACAGCCTATGACCGAGGTGAGGGAAAGGCTCCTGGAACTACTGTGTAAGTGTTTTTGATGCTTCATATTGTTAATAATGACTAACTTGTTTCTAAAGCTGGGAGACTTCGCCACAAAAGGCCAAAAAACCTTTTACTCAGGCAACCAAAGATAATCGGAAATGGGCAGAACATGCTCAAGATCGTCTTGCCAACTGGCTTCTCGAAGGAGAATATGGTAAATGTCTCTTTTAATTTTTAAATTTAATATGGTAGCTAAAAGTCTGTCAGCCGATGGAGAGGATGACGATGAAAATAATCTCTCAGATCTGACTGTTGAGGTCGATGATGATGGTTATCCTTGCCTACCCACAGGCTTTGGATCTCTCAAGCTCAAACACAGGCAACAGCTTGTTCAGAGTGTCTTTCAAAAGGCCTATGGTGAGTTGATTTGTCTTATGTGATTGTATCATTTACTCACTTGCCCCAGCTGTTATTACCAATAATCCCAGGGCTCTGGTGCCCTGGGGTGAGATGTCGACCAATCCCAATCACTACCTTGATTCAGGATGCATTCCTGAGAATGTCGTCATCAGGGATCCTTCCCACCTGCAAAAGGACACAATCACTGTGATATACTCCCACTGGAAAGACTGTGCTAGTCATGACATGCTGATTGTACATTTTGTTGGATATAGGCAAGCTGATTTCTATGATGCTCGCACTAAGAAGGGAGCTGCAAAGGGCAAGTCAAGGAAGAAGCCTGCCTATGTTGAAGTCTCTTCAGATGAGGAAGGACTCTTGAATAAGGTCGCCAATGGTAAAAGCTCTTCAGATGAAGATGACATCGAGGTGGAGACTCCGACCATTCCTGATTCCAGCCCCAAATACCATCTTGCTAGGGACATGGTCCCTTACCTCAAGTCTCTCTCTACTGTCCCTTCATATCATCATCTTCTTACTGTGGTTCAAAAGCTTCCGGTATGTCAGATCTCTTAACCTTGTGATTTTACATTGATTTTGTCTTTTTTAAAGCAAAGAACGGATTCAAAGTCGAGGAAACAGAAACTTCCTGTCTGGGCTCCTTGGACATGGTCTCAGGCATATCTGCCTCAAGACATCCATGAGAATATGAAAACCGCCTCAGTCGCCCTGGAGAATTTGAGTAACTACCAGTTCAATTCTCGTGGATGGGGCATGGTTGTGAGCCTGGGACTTGGACTCCTACTTCGTGAGTGTTGTCGTGCTCAGGAGTATGAAGCCAACGAAGCTGGAGATGATGTATCTGATTACTTAGGTAACTCTATCTTGGGCATCCAGATGGGCGACCAGATTGAGGAAAAGGTTGTAGGGATAGGGGCAGAAGTTGAAGCCATGCTGAAAGATGAGAACCTGGGGTTGTCTATTGTGAGGAAAGACATTGAGAAGAGGCGTTCAGAGGAGAAAAAGAAGTTGAAGGAGAAAAGGAGAGTCGAGGAGAAGAAGAGGGCCGAGGAGGAGAAGAGGGTTGAGGAAGAAGAAAGATTGGCTAAGGAAGCAAGCAAGGTGGACAAGAGGGTGAGGAAATCCAATGCTAAAGGGAAGGATAAGCGGTTTGCTGCAGATGTGGAGGAACCATCCAAGAAAAAGGTGAAAGCTTCCCCTCCTGATTTACCTCGTCGTTCTGCCAGAGACAAAGCACCTCCAAAGAAGTACAATGTCTGAAATATTTGATATATCATTCAATACATCTTGTATCACAATGGCTTAGAGTTGATTAAATGTTTTGTATATCTGTGCTTGAGACTTAAAGAAATATTCAAGATGGCACTGGCCATACATGTTTGAATATAGGTCATTACTCATGCAGCCGGCCCATTTGCACAGACTGCATAACCAGGCTGGCCCTCATTGGTTTGGGTCACTATAGGTGCGGCCAGCCCCCTTTTCATATTGTAGAAGCAGGCCGGCCCACAGGAGTATTGGTTATAACCTATGCAGCTGGCCCTTTTGCACAGAATGAAATACCGGGCCGGCCGGTATTGACCTTTGGGGCAGCTGTTCCCCTTCACATATGCCAGGGGCAGACTGCCAGAATGTTGGGTTCTTCACAATTCACTGTACACTATCAATGGCTATAACTTGATATAGATTATACATGACCTGGCCTTCATAGTGTACAGTGAATTTTGAATAGCCCAAGATTGATGCCCTAGCCACTGTATATATTTTACAATATTCACAGATTCACCATCACAGTGATATGTAGGGTGAGGATGGCTCATCACCTCTATATGCATGTGTTACAGTTTTGTGGGTCACAACTGTACTACTAGTGTATTGCACAGATTTTGTAGGTTTTATATTATTTTTTTCATTAGCCTTTATCATCAGTATTCAAGTTGGATCAAAGGTAATAACCTCACCCCAATCCTTTGATCCAACTTGAATACTGATAATGTTTGGATAGTTTAGTTACTGATCCAAAATTGTTTACACTGCACTGTATTTTAGATATTACCATTTTTTTATACTGGAGGATGGAGGTCTTCAAGTGCCTTCAAAACCATACTAATCCAAGAGCTACCATTAGCCCCTACAGTGTTTGGCCTATCTGTCATTTATACTAGAGTCACCGGCCTGTCCAGGTCCTGCAGATACATCATTTATACTAGAGACACCGGCCTGTCCAGGTACTGCAGGTATGTAGAGATACCGGCCTGTCCAGGTCCTGCAGATATATCATTTATACTAGAGTCACCGGCCTGTCCATATTTCACATAGTCGGCCGATCCTGGATATACATACACTGGCCGTCGTCCGGTAGGCCAGGTTTTGCAGGCCAATGTACACGTCCTATGACAGGGTTTTACAGTGTCATATGACTGAAAGGTGTGGATGGCAGGTCAATCAGATGAATCCATCTAATGTTAAAGGTGAGGATCATGCTTTTGATCAGAGAGTGATGTTTTGAATCTGCTCAATCCAGGAGAATCAGATTTTGAATCCATTTTGGGAGTAACACGACCAAGACCATTGAAGATTAGTTTGTGAGAAAAATATCTATGAGGGAATGAGCCCATTCAGTAACTTTCTTCTGTGTTATATGGACACCCGAAGTTGAGATTCTTCCGAGTGAGACGGTCCATCCAAGTTGGGCCCAGATCCAATGCTGGCCGATAGACACGGGTGGGCCTATGTTGTCTCGGTATTGACGACCGGGCCCATAAGTGACAACTGACAGTGTAATTATGAAACAGTTGGGCCTGATTAGTCCACCATGAGGGTGTTGATACTCACGGACAGGCCCAAGTAGATGATGCCCAAGGTCCAGGGTGATGAAGTCGGTATTGACGGTTGGGCCCAATGTGATGTTACTGAAAGTCGACAATCAGGTCATGGCATTGGGTCGATTCTCACGGATGGGCCCACATGAGCTATACTGAAGGTATAGAATGATGAGATCGATGTCAACGACTGGGCCTGAGAAGTGTTGCCGAAGGTGGATCACCAGATCAATGGCAGGGCCTCCATTCTCACCGGCAGGCCTGAGCGGGTGATGAGGAAGATCCGGGATGAAGCACTCGGCCCCGACGGCTGGACCCGATGTGGTATTACCGAAAGCCAACCTTTGAATCAATGGCGGGGCACCAATTCTCACTGACAGGCCCGAGTGGATGATACCACAGGTCCCGGTTCATATTGACATTCACAGATGGGCCCGAGCGGGTACGGCCGAGGTCCGGGGTAACGAGGTTGATACTGACGATCAGGTCCGACGCAGTGTCGACGACAGGGCGACAATTCTCGTAAACATGCCCGAGCCAGTGGTACCGACAGTCCGGGTTGGCGATCTCAGTATATACGACAGGGCCTGATGTAGTGTTGCCGAAAGTCGACATACAGTCGATGCCAGTGCATCGATCTGCACGGATGGGCCTACATGAGTGATACCAAAGGTCCGGAATGATTAGGTTGATGTCAATGGTGGGGCCCAAAGGCTGATATTCGGGCGCTAGTTGACACAGAATATTGCCGGATGGGGATGCTGATGGACAGCATAATATATAAGCCCCATTCTCGGTCATCCCGGATATACTCTATTCCTTTGGAGGTAGTGCCCCCGTGTAGCCTACCATATGATCAGCATGCTACCGAGACACAATAAAAACTTTATTTGGTTGCATCAGTATCAAATTGCAACAATTGAGTGTCCGATGAACTTCCACATGTTCAACAAACAGAGATGTGCCGATACCAAATTGAATAAAGTCTGAAGCAATGCCGTGACTTATGCAATGAAGCCCGCGACATTCGGAAATGCTACAAGAACTATATATATCTGTGGAGGGAATGATATGTAAAAGAGCGGCATCAGAGTATGTAAAACAATAGCAAAATTTTGAGAAGTGAGAGCTTTGAGAAGCAAAGGGCAACATGTATGGACAAGGCATTGGGTTGGGTTAAAGAGTGACAATAAGATTTGATAGCAGCGGGAGGACCATCTATAGAGTACCATACACCATGAAATCCGCCTGATTGTACTTCGCCAATATGCAGGCATCGAGGTCAGCAGGATTATATCCGGCATAATCCGGACAAGGAGTGCGGGCGTAGTTGTGCATGCTATCACGCATGAACCAGGCCCATACTATTTGATCCCCTTCATTAACACGAATGCCATGTCTCACCAGACGACCCGAATAGCTCACCATGACCCCTGGGTTATATGCTAAATTGATCCCGAGATTGGTTAAGTGCATGATTGCATGTTGGTAGCTACCAATGCAAGTCAGTATGTCAAATGCCTTGGGCAGGCATTTCGGATCTTGGTGACAAGGAAAATCACGGTTACACATGACAGCAGCCCCTGTGTAAACCGAGGCCCAATGCTTCAAGAGGCGATGCATGTCGTGCAATCCTTGCTGTGCGGACCAACGGCCGAGCTCAACGTGCGTCCTTAGGGAAGCCCAGTAGAGCTGAGGATGCATCACTCGGAGGGCAACAGAGGCGAGCAGGGCGGGTCTCTGGATATCTATGATCATCTCCAGGCTGCGCTCGCCCTTGAGCATGGCAGACACTTCGGGTTTGAAACCGTCGTCGGGGTCTTCAGGCAGGGGGCCGTAGCACTGCACCGAGATGAACAAACGAAAATACGGGAGTTTGGAACTTACTTCGTGTCCTTGCTGGAACCAACACGGGGTGATATTGATACAGCCCGGAGACAATCCTTTTGTATCGACCGGCCGAAAGTTTGACTTGTGGGTTCTCCAACCCAAACCACTCCGGTGGACTATACTTTTTTTCAAAAGATCTCCCATGGCGGTGGTGGCCTTGAACATATCATTCTATCATTATTATGGTCAGCGGCCAATGACTAGTTTACAGCAACCAACTCACCTGTGCCCATGGAGCAAGAGCATCCAGGATGTACCACAGAATGATTCGGTACCCGGAGTCCAATACGACCGCCGGGTGCCTCAACATGATTTTCTCAGAAGGAGGGAATTTCGCTAATAAGGCATGTTCCTGCGCATCATTCATTCCGGATTCTCTTTTGGAGAGAGCCTCGTTGTATCGAATTATGTCAATATCCAATTTAACTAAATTTAGCACCTTGCATTAGTTGATATCTTCGGTAAACATGGCGGGCACATACTTGTGTGTCGATAGGCTTCGGCCATGAGTAGTGCTAGTTGACCGCAAGACAGCATGGTCTCGACGTCCAACTCGGGAGGAGGGTCTACCAACAGTCTTTCAGCAACATGGGCAAGGAATTGCTGCTCAACCCATTCACCGGCCGAGTGAGTGGCATGCAAAGCCCAGTCCTTCGGAATGACAGGAAGCCGACCTATCCCATCCTCATAAACACAATGTGACTGGCATATGAGCACCATTCCGAAGGGATCTGAGACATGATGGGGTGGCATGGGAATACTGACATGAGGGCGCAGCTATTTTATCAAGATTATAGCCAAGCCTCATGGCAAATGGCATATCGGTAGACGTAAACAACCGGGACATAATAAGGGAGTGTCACACCGGCAGCACGAGGTCGAGACGTAACGACAATGCAATTACTCAAAACATGCACCACCGCAATTTTCGGTAAATTGAGAGCCACGTACAATGTGCAAGGGCAATCTGAGATCTGGATAGTTTTCATGAGGGTGTTTTCCTAGATAATTCCGGAAACATTCATTTAGTATCATGCCTCTGTTGAATTGCATTGCCGTTCACGCCCGTAGCCTAAGATGATATGCACAATATACTACATATGAAGCTTTTTACCGCAGCCGATAGTTACCCACCCCATCTCAATGAATGCAATCTACTGGAACATGTCCTCCATCTAGTCATAATCCTGCTGCTTATCTTCACTTCTGTCAAGAAGTTGTTGTGCGGTGGCCATAGCATCATGAAGATCATCCACAGGACCTTCAAGGGTAGTCATGGCCTCCAGGGCAGCACTTCCATCTTTCATCTTCGCGGATAGCCAATAGTTGAGCTTGGTGCCTAGCTGTTCAAGATCATCTTTGATCACCCAAAGGTTTGACAGCAATGGATCTGGATTGGCCTTGTGCGTGCGCATGTCGGGCAGAAGAAGATGTCCCGCAGGCTGATTATCGGTTGTGATTAAATCACTAAGTGAAAAGCGAATGACTGGTGCTTACCAGCTGCTGAAAATGCTCAAGAGTGAGTTCCATGACATCCTGTAACTGGACGCGATCCAGCATCTCAAAGGGAAGGATATCAAATCGGTCCTTCCACCAACAGTATTGGTAATGGGCGACTAAGCGGCAATGTGCCATGACATCGGAGCCACCGCACACAGGATGTGTAGAGAATTCGCGGAAGAGGCGGTTGTCATCCCAAAGGGCCAGCTGCCAGCTCGCAAGCATCTTCACGATGTCGTTGAGATATTCCAGCAATGCTGTGGATGTGTTGCTGGTGGCACAAAGGTTGATAATAGGAAATACAAATCACTAGATACAACCCGATAAGTCAACAAATGTGATAGGCAATATAGAAAGACATACATCGGCTTCCCAACACAAATATCTGACAAAGACTTTTTGGAAGTGTGAAGTCCGAGAAACTTGATTCTTTTCGACGGCGATGCGGATCGCAGTAAAGCGGGATGTCGCATACTCAAAAATGTTTGCAGCATCCCACATTGATACCGATTCACCTACCGAGGGCCTGGCGTACACAAACATAGCATCGGTCGGCATATTCGGATCGGTGGGAATAGTGTGGAAGGGAATGAATGAATGGACTATCTGGGATGCAGCCGGCGGTATAAATAGTCGACTGTTTAAACTCAATGAAATATGTCATCTGCCACGTGTGGACCTGTGATCCGTGGTAATTTGATAAACAATGGGGCCGAAATTGACCACAATAGTGCATTGTCCACATGTTCCCCTGGTTACGTACAAAACAAGGTCTTGGCATGGAGCTGATGACATCACATGTTGATAACATAGTGTCTATCTTATATTTCAATATTATGTCACAAGTTATGACCGAATGTCGGATCCACTTCCACGAACCGGGAGTGCGTGTGTTTGGCTAATTGTCTATACATGTGTGCCTGTCTGATCGCATAGCACCTATGTCCATCTTTGATAGAATTTGCCCGATGGGTTATTCGGCTTTGTGGGCAAGAAAATTGATGGTCCAACGCATCTCATGTCTCACAAGAATTAACTCTTCGGCCCAGTGGTCTCGCAAAGCTTTTGTACGAAGCCAATGCACCCTGTAAACTTGATGCAAAAATCACATAAACAACATGTCTCGCACCGAGATCGTAACTCACATTCATTGAGCCAGTCGTTGCTCACCAAATCCCCCTGAACATCCAACGACCGAAACCACGGCAGCGTCAAATTTCTCTGACCTCGTATGTTCGGGTCTGCGACAGCTGAGTTTGCTTTGAGCTCAGTTCTTTCCAACAGCCGATATTTCTGTAGCATATGATAGGCACCGAGATTAGACAACTGCGACCTGCATTTCTTGTAGATCATGCTGTTCAGATTGATCACATGTTTGACCGAATGAACCTGGGCCCAGGCCCAGGTGGTGCTGGCTTGGGACTTTGCCGGGCGGACTACTGTCCAAAACAAAACAGATTTGTCAGCCAGATGCACTCTGATGGTGTGCAAGATGTCATTGGCCTGTCCTTCATGGAGAGTTTCTTGTCTGACAAGGGCTTCAATCCCAAGCTCTTCGCATCTTGTCTTGCTGAAATTGGACGGCAGTGGGATGGCAATAGTTTCCGGTCGAAGCGAGACCCTCGGCGTGTTCTCTCCCGCGTCCAAATCATCTTCACTGCAATCTTGAGTGTTGGTGCCGTCTTCTACGAATTCGACGTCCATTATGGTGATGCCATCATCAGCGTCATATTCATCTCCGATGTACCTCGCTGCTCCGGCGGTGAATTCGTCGATAGACTGTTGCAGCCGAACTCTATGTCGGCCGATATCAAGTGTTTGCATTTCGGTGGGATGCCAGCCCATTCTGCGCAAATCCATGGCCAGCGCGAGCTGCATTTCTTCAATAGTGATCCCAGAGGCAAGCCATGTGGCTGATCCTATCTGAGGTCTGACCCCAGGGCGCCGGACAGAGGTCTCCAGCAAATCCAGTTCAATATCCTTCCTAGATCGTGCTACCAAAATTTCCAATAAGTCCTTGTTCGGCGAATAAATTACCACTGACACTCACCCTTTTGCAACTGCACTTCATATATATCAAGCGCCGCAGGGTCGGTAATACGTGATGCTTGAGCTTGCACCTCTTGGGATTCCCACCGGTCCACCATGACAGGATCTGCCGAGCCATTCAATTTGTTGAATGCTTCGGTGCTTTCGGCGACCCCGCATTTAGCTTCCTTGTACTTGCAGGACAGAAATGCAGCTGTTGCTATTAGATGCTATACCCGGAACTCCAATCATGAGACCCACCCATTTGAATCATCTTCATGAAGTTGCAGTTGTTCATTTGGAAGTCGAGGCATTCCTGTCGGTGGGGGGTCGACATTCCTCAGGCTGCCGGGGAAATTATATTGAGAGAAGCCCAAAGGGTCTCCATGATCTCGCCATCTATTCTTGCAGCTCCGGGAATAAAATTTGATGCATATCACACAAAGCATTTGTCTTGATGCCCATGAACATGCCATAGCCTGATTCCCAGGACTATGTCCATTTCCGATGGAATGTTCATATGCAGGCTGTCTTCCACCCGTTTCTTGAAATGTCTGTTGTACTGACAATTGACATCATAAAAAGTCAATGCCCTGCATAGGCCGTCGGTATTATGAGCAAGCGCATTGCAAAGGGCATAATCCATGTTCATCTGTCTGCTCCCGAATGTCATTTTATTGTGCATGATATCGGATGTCCGCACCTTTCGCCCTTTTGAAAATCCACCATGGAATTCGGCACAAAGCAGCCGTGCCGAGCACACATACACCCGCTGATTCCTGTAGCTTCCAGCTTATGCCGAGATGCATTGGCCTGATTTACCGCTCTATGGTTATTACATTCGGATCTCTGTGCTGAATCTTGTGCGACAGCAAGATGCGCCTGGTATCTCACCCTTCCTACCATGAATCCTTTGCTGTCGGTCAACCAAACTTCATCTTCTGGGTGCGTCGGATATAGATGCTCTGCTTTGAAATTACTGTCCATAACCAGGGAGCACGTATATATCCATCCGTGGGTGGTCTCATCACTTTCGGGTTGCAATGGGGCATTGATGCCTGGTTGGGGACAAGCTGGGCAGAAGAGAGCCAGCTCCCCATCTTTTGGTTCCCTCTTCTCATGACCGAATCCGTTCCATTTCAATAGCTTCAGCTGGCGCCATTGTCTTGCAACTCGCATCATCTCCCGGTAACAGTCCTGTCACATATTCGGTCAGTGCTTGTGATGGCACAACTCTGCTTACCGGTACCGCATGAGGGAATAAGCTAGATGTGATTCTTCGCAATTTGCTGTAATAGTTCATCCCCGATGTTCCACACTCTAAATTGTCCAAGATGAAATCGTCCAACAATGCAAAAGTAAATGCTGTCTTCGGCCGGGTAAATGATGCCGCAAACAGTCCAATTTCAAACAGCTGTTTGTCGGGAGTTCAGGTGCCCGCGCATTGACAATACCGAACAGATGAAATGTGAACACCCGAAGAGTGAACAATCGTGAGTGTGGTCCTGCCAATCTGTGCTGTATTTACCTCGGGCAAGTCTGGGAAAGTAGCTGCAGGCTCTGATTCTAAAAAGACATCCTCGTATGCTGTCGCATACAGTTCGGTGCATTGCCAATCGCCATGTCTGTCAGCCGTTTTCGCTACACCTGGAATTCCGGCAGTTAAAGATGCAGTATACCGGTCCTCATCATCGGTATCTTCCCATTCCCAATTATGGTTGGGGCAAGGCTGTCCTCCATGACCGAGGTGGATCTCTACACCTAGCTTAGCGAGTGTAGTTCTATCAAAGAAATCTCCATTCCATTGACTCGTCCGGTGGAAAGGGAGCCTTGCATGTTGAGTCCGGCAGCACTTTGTACAGAATATCGGCTCAGCAAAACAGTCATGGCACTTGTATGCGCCATCACCATCACACAAGCAGCACACCCGATTTGGAGGTGGAGCCTCTCGTTCCAGGAGCATATCCAAATAATCCTCCACCCTAAATTTCCACTGGCGAAGATACTCATTTGGAGTCTATAGGTCCCAGATGTGAGTTTAATGTTTATGAAGGTAGATATCCCCGCTCTTTTTCTTCACTTGGCTCTTTGGAAGTCTTATGGAATTGATGCCGCCTTGGTCGCCATAGCATGTCTCAAAGTCTTCGGAGAATCTATGCATCAACCCACCAGAAGGCTGCTTGGTGGGAGACTTGGTCGGCGATGAATGAACTAATTTGCTAGTCTTTGTAGGCTCGGCTGACACCCACCGACCTTTGATGCCTTGGCTAGTTTTTTTCCGGCTCCATTTCACAAGGTGGATGGTCCCAGGAGGTGTGACCTCTATAGCCTTTGATCTGCCCATGTCCAGGTCTGTGAGATGATGGTGGTGGTATGGTGACAGAAAGGTGACCTTTGATTGCATCACAGTCTCATAACTAGACCTTCCCTAGCTTGGCTCCCATGGTAATATTTTGTGCTAAATTTAGATCTCAATGCATAAGGTGTGCATCAATTTGGACAGATTAGATCATAGTCAATTGAATTGCTGAGGGGTCATTAGGGCGATCAGTTCGAAAAAGTCATTGGGTGGATTGAGTGACATTCATTCAATTCAATTGTTAAGAAATACCCAGGGCCTCTAAGAGAACAGGGGCAACCACAGCCATCTCCTCCCGATGCATTCCGGGTCACCCAAGTTCCTTCTCACTCTCATAAGGCCAACATTGTTTTGGATACCATTCTTGATATGGACGCCTTGGAGCATAACAGCAACAGCAACCACAACCATCTACTCCGAATCTGTTCGCAGTACCACAAGTTCCTTCTCATTCTCATACGATAAGAATCAAATCAAGATGAGGATGTCCTGGCATAACTTTGAGACAAATGAATAGCGGTGATTCCATGATTTCTGTAACTTGATAGCTGATCCCAACCCATGGGACGTTTAAGGAATTTCTCGGGAAGATGAACAAAACAAAACATCTGTGTGATTCTATACCTGAATTCCGAAGTTGACTGACTAGTGAAATGAGTTAAATTGGTGGGTAAATGTCTTGAAGATCAAGAGTGCCAATAAATCCACCAGATTGTGCAACGGGACATTGTCAGTGTATTGGATTGTAGTTATCTATGCCTCAAAATAACCATTACGAAACAAACAACTTTGGTTTAAATTGAACCTCTTTTCAGACACGTCTCCTTCCCTTCCATCTTGCTATACATTTCATTGATGTCAGGGAACACCTCGGAGTCGGAAGAAGAAGTTCACAAGCACTTGCCTCTGAATAGAGAGGAGGTTGCTGTTCTGGAGTCCCACCTGGAGCAATGGGACAACACTTCGGGTAAAGACAGAAACAAGGTCTGGAAGGACACCACTACAGAGGCTCGGCTGAAGGCACCCAAGATGGATGCTGCCAAGCTGAGGTCAAGAAAGACTGTGAGTGCCTTGTTCAATCGACTTGGGGAATTGAATGATTAATATTGTTTGGCATGCAGATCTACCGGAAATGGTTACAGAACCACGGTGAAAAGAAGGATATGAAAGCCCCTATCAATCTCGGAAGAAAGTGGACATACCAGACGGTGGTTGGCGCTCTCCGGAAGAAGGAGCTTCTGAAGAAGATTGAGGATGACACTGGTGTGAAGGCTGGGGAAAAGGATATGATGAAGTATTATTCTAAGTATTTCGGGGACATGGTGAATTCTCTCACCAAGATGGAGGTGGAGGAAGCTACCGAAAAGGCTGTAGAGTGGAACAAACAGGGAGTTCCTCCCAATGTTCAAGCGGATACGGCGAGACGAAAGAGCGAGGACATTCTGCGACATGTCGCTGCCGAGATGTTCAAAAAGGCAGGAATGCGGCTGTTCATACTGTCGGCTTGGAAAGGGGAAGAAGGAAAACTAATGGTCTCAAGGTAAGTCACCAACTCAGCATATTTTGGACAATCTCAGGTCTAGTCAACCGACAGCCACGACTTCAACAGAGAAATTGGTAATGGAGAAAGTAGTTTTACTGACACTCACAACTGGAAGGATATAGTGCCAGAATGGAAGTCTTATGCGTCCAAACAGTTTGGTGAGCTCTCTGGGAGCTCTTTTCGGCAATCAAACTTTGCTAATGGATGTTGGATGGAAAGACAAGGAAGTAGACTCTGACGATACCCTGGTGAAAAAAGGCAGAAAAGACAAGACATACGTCCTGAAGATAGGGGATGATGGGTTTCCTGTCCTTCTGGACCATACACAGATGGATTCAGACACCCGGAAGGCAGTCGTCCGAGCCTTCTTGAATTGGCATTATCGTACGTCGGTCCTGTGACATACATGCTTTGCTATTCTCACATAGATGATAGAGGATTGCACGGGACGGCCGAAAGAGGTGGTGCCATGGAAGGAAGTAATACCGAGGCAGGAGGAGCTTATCCCACCGCTGTATCTTCCCGATGGAAGAAAACTTCAGGAGCCCTCTCGGATGAACAGACAAGAGGCCACCGAGTTGTTGGAATTCTGGTACGACCAACAGGAGCACGGCCGAGATGCGACATTTGAGTTCCACGGGTGGTGGAGTAAATCTGACAAGGAAATCAAACCTTCCGTAAGATGGCCTAAGGAGTATCATGAAGATTGTGAGGATGAAGAGCTGTCGAAACCGGTCAGGAGGTTTGCAGAATGGGCGGTCATCCAATCAGATAGTTCGGGCGATGACAACAACACACCTCGGACATGGACACACACGGCTGAACATAGGAATAGGCAGCCGATCATAAAGTCCCGAGGTAAAACAAAACCCGGGAAGGCTTCTGGATCATCAAACACTCGTCAAGAATCCGCACGGGAGTTTGTTGGAGGGGATGTGGTATCCAATATCACAACCAGACAGCCAGCAAAAACGCGCCTAGCACAATCGACTGCATTGCATAGTGTCTCAGAAGCTGTGGACGTAACACTGGGAGTGGGAGTGCCAGAGCCATCAGCTTCCCAAGAACCACCGACGCCTTTAGACAATCCTCAGAGGGTAGGACCGGTGTCTTGTCCTGGGGGAAAATTATGGAAGAATTTAGCCGAGTGCTCGGACGATGTTGACAAGGAAGCTGTTTCCAAACATACTGCCGATAAACCAGAGCGCGGGAGGCAACATGGTCCCAAAGACGGGCTAGAACAACCGAAGGAGAAAAGAGTTCGGTTGAACACAAAAGGCCATAAACGTCCTGCCAAGGATGCATTACAGGACTCGCCCGCAAAACGCACAAGAAGCAAGGCAACGGATCTCCCACCCAAACGATCCAAGAAGCCGAACTCCAGATATGCAGCAAACTTCATCAGGTCATAAGTGTTTGCTAGGAATGGTGCTAATGTTGGTGTTGCATTTGAAACGGACTGTTGAATTATATCTGACATAATTTGAATGTGAATTATCACCGGCCGTACATTCATGTATTGAGTATACCACCTCTATATGCGGCATAATTCAATTAAACAGACGAAGACAACATGTATACTACCGACACTCCCATAATATAATTGCATCTAATCATCGTTATCTTCCAAAGATGCTATGACACTATCAGCAGTTCTTAACAGCCGACGCTGAAGCTGAATCATGCCGTGCAACTTGCAGATGTCCAGGCCTACGTCAGTGACTCAGTTTCGCGAGTCGGCAAACATCCCAAAAATGCGCCTGTTGTCGAAGAGTATTTGATCAGGAATGCGGGAATCTTTCAATCTGTAGACGGCATTTTCAACAATTGCATGGACATGTTCATCGGCTGCAAATCGATTAGAATGATCGTCGCTGGATAATACATCAGACTCACTCATGTCATTGCCAATCACCTTCATGAGACGATTCATCCGGAAGATCTTGTCCTCGGCCTCCCTCGCATGATTTGACGGAGATGTACTGTGAACATCCATATCCATCCTTATGGGTGACGAACACCCAGATTTTGCTGTCGGAAATGTTCAATCGATGTTCAAATAAAATTCGCATGCATTTACCTGTTTCTTTGCCATCGGCCATAGATCCCCATCTGAGATCATAAACAGGGGAATCTTCTTTGGTCAAGTCTATAACCTCTTCCTCCATTGGGAGCCGTGCAGAGGGTTCGGGTGTCTCATCTATGGTTAGATCAATAACATTGTTGTCTGCCGCCGGCGACTCTTCCGTTGTCGCAGCCCAGCCGAGGTCATACGCCAGGTCGTTGTTGTCATCAATGGCTTCGGCTTCCTCCGGCAACATCACGGTACACAACCATCCGAGATCGTATACAGGGCCGTATTCAATCTCATCCGCAGATACTACCGATGGCGGTATAGGGTCCGATGTCCAACCGAGATTGTAGATAGGACTTTGATTGATGCCATCCACTTTACAATGTTCTATTAGCCAAAGATATCGACCGAAATATAGATAAACCGACTTACAAGCGCGTGTGCTGTCCAAGGATGGCGATCGGACATGTGTAGCCGAATGATCAATCGCAGATAGAGTCGGATACATCAATCCGCTCCATCCGAGATCATAAATTGGCCCATTGTCTTCAAATCAACAGGGTCAGTCATCCCATCCGGACACAGACCAAACACTCACAAGCAGCCATACCTTGTTCGGATGGTGGTCTGACCTCCTGTGAGACAGCAGAAATGCCATCCCACCCAAGATCATACAAAGGACCATCACAGTCCATCAGCTCCTCCACCTCGTCTATTGACTCGGTCGTTGGAGGTGATCCGACCGATGGAGGTTGAGATCGGGACTTAACCCAATCATCTTCAAACATCGCTGAAAATATATCAATAAGTGAGACTGTAGACATCAGTTTACGGAAAATGTTTACCAGAGAGTTCATGAATGGCCTCCTCCACTCCGGCGAAGTTGCGGTCGTAGACGTCAGGAGTTGAATCTCCCAAGTGACTATCCGGAGTATCGATCCGAGTTTCCGGAGTCATATCGTATTCTAGCATTGAATTAGCTTGCTTATGCTGTGAACAAGATCTGCCGAAGAAGGCACTTACTTCGAAATGGCAAATCCTTAAATTTATGCCGGACGTTCAGCAGTGTCCACTGGTCTATGGGTACAAAATTACCCCACCATTTTGCCAAGGCTTTCTTTCGTAGAGCACCGGCAAGGGACTCACCGGCCAAGGTAGGGTCCGGCTCTTCACTTGTCAATGGTGTCGAAAACCAGACTTTTCGGGGTGACATGATGCAGGGATTATGTTCACGATGTTCGGGTGGGGAATAGGTGGGTTAAATAGGGAACAGGTGGTGCGCAATAGTTTGAAATGTGGATGTGAATATGCGGTCAATGATGTCGGACTTCTCCACATTATTGTTTGATATTTGTCCCAGCAAGAGCTGAGATTTCAACACTCTGTGGCACCATTACATCTAGGAACAATGGGCATAAGGCATCGGCAAATTCCATCGGCACCGCTGTGGCCCAAATTGTTCTTCCCTATATATACCGTGTCCAAACTTGGACTCTGCCTTTTCTCCCGAACTTTGATATCCATTACCCGTACCCGCAACCACTTCACTTTTAATACCTGCTACATTCATCATGTCAACCTCCGAGGTTTCAAACCAGGCGTTGAATGCCATAACTGACAAGATTTTGCTCCTTGTTAAAAGGTCGCAAAAACTCGCAGAAGACAATCTGGCTGCTTTGACTTTGGCACACGAGATTGCCGTGAATTTGGTAAGTCATTGTTCAAAGTTCCTGTTTTGATCACCGGACTAATGCACCTATTCTAGGCGACCACATTCTCGCAGCATGGTCGCACCGCCACTGCCATTGCGCCGATACTCTTATCCTGTGCTGCTGAGATCAGGGACAAGAGCCTCAACGGGAGGTTGAAGGGGCTGCCGGACTGGTCATCAATCTCGGATGATGACATCCGCATCCATGCCCATCCCCTATACCAGAAGACTGTTGGATACCAACTCCCACCCGCATCTACAACTGCACTGGGACCCATACCTGCGCCGGCTCCATCGTCGGCACAAGTCTCTTTCGAAGAGCATGCTGCCTCACCAATTATGGCGCCTCCCATCACCGAGACGAAGCACGACCTTTTTGTGCAAGGTACTGCGACCAAACAGAAGGCCAGCACGTCAGAATCCGAGGACAACAACGTCCCAGAGGTTATCATCCGGAATGCCAAACCGTTGAGCAAGACTCGGCTGGATGCCAGTAAAGCCCCACCCAGGAAGAAGATGAAGCCCACACGGGCCAAAGAAGGTTGTAGTCGAGGATGATGACAACATCCCAACTCAGGATGTCATTTTTGTAAAGGTATGTGTTCTTATCTCACAGTCTCACCTTAACTAACACGCAAGTCAGAGAAAACCAACAGTTGGGCCAAGTGATCAGCCCTCAATTGTGCAAGACCGCTTGCTTTCTAAAGCCGAGGTATGTTTCATACCGAAATCCACATAATCTTGCGCTAACGTTACCAGTCTTCTTCAGAATCGGATGCTGAGGATGCCGAGTCTTCCGAAGAGACATCATCGGTCCGCATCTTCGGTGTGCCATGCGAACACTGCATCAAGGACAATGTTCCTTGCACCGCCATCCTCGCCAAGAAATCCAGCGAGGTGAGGAAGACATGTGGCAACTGTGACGGCTGAAAGATAAAATGCCGTCAACCAGGTCCTGAATGTGGCACTGTCCTTCGAGGGGAGGTCGCCGCACGCAAGGCCAAGGCAGCTGCAGCTGCCAACAAGAAGGCAAAGAAGGCCAAGAAGAAGACCGACGCACCGGCTCCTTTGCCGAAGTCGATAGATCGACCCAAGGTGCCCATGAGTACACGGTCAACACGCTCCGTGTCAAAGGTCCAGCCGCGATCTCCAACACCACCGACTCCTCATATGGAGTCAGATGAGGATGCTGATGGTGACAGTGTTCTTGATGTCAGTAAGCACTTTTTCACTTTTTTTTGTTCTTGGTATTGATTTTCCCAGAACAAGCAACAGTCGCACCACTTTCCCTGGCCATTGCACTCCCAACATCTCCTGAGAAACATGTTAACGCAGAGTTTCATCCAGATATTGGTATGTCTGGTGTTTTTTTCTTTGTATTTCCACATTAATGTTGTGTGGTAGAACACCTGCAACAACCGGCACCCAGTCCTGCAGACTTCAACGTCGACATGGGCGTTGCCTTCGACCGCGTCGAACCATCTACTCGGATCGGGTTTAATACCCCCATCCCGCAATCCATGGAACAGCTGACAAATCGGGACCTGCTCCTCCGAATTGATGCTCTCGGCAGTAAGTTCGAGGTGTTGTTCAAGACTTCGGGCGATCGCACCGATGCCCTTCATCGAGAGATGGATTCAAGGTTCATCGCCTTGGATGACAACTGGGCCGCCAGGTTCGTTGCGATGGAGGACAAGATCCAGAGTGTTGAGGAGAGGGTTCAGGATGTGGAGATGAAAACCTGCGGCAACGTCGCATCGATCAGATACATGGCCAATGCACTCAAGGCCATGAAGATCCCCTGACATTCGACGTCCTTCGACCCCCCTTCTGCAGGGCCATCCGTTCATGGACACCCATATGGCCAGATACCCGGGACATGGCTTCACCCCCCTTTTGCAGCTCCTCAACCTTTGGATCCGAGTATATCGGAACTCAGCAAAAATCTCACCACTGCCTGGGATTTGTCTGCGGCTCCTCCAGCAACTACCGAGAATAATTCTGCCTCTGCAGGGCAAGGATCCCTCGATCACCACAACTTGAGCGGGTGCTCTGACCTATCTAGTCTCCCGACTGGCGGGTCCCCAAAAAAATAATTTGTACTCTGTAGTTATATATATTACATACATGTATGCTTACCCACTACTTTGCATGTACATTTACTGTCATTGACCAGCGTCATGACGGATTACAATAGAGTCATACAAAAGGACGCCCATGAATATCTCCTGAATATATAAGGCTAGTAAATCATTGGTAGTGACGTCATAGTTGAGTACCCTTGGGATATCCCAGCTCTTCCTTATCATCTGGTGCATCCTTCGGTGGTTATTTGATATGCGAAAATAACTATTTGTGATGTTGTATAGAATCTCGGTCGTGTGTATTTTGTGACTTCGGCACATCTATTGGCATGTGAATGGGTGCGGTATCAAAATATATCCGGATATACTGCCAACATGACCTACCAAAATACCGATGTAATGCATTGCACCGGTTTGTATCGATATTTTGCGCTGGAACACATCCGGGTCCCATTCATCCACCTAAGTCTCACCTTGGGTCTACCGACATCCCAATTGTGTGCCATATACTGAGATATCTCGGCCTGCTCGTATCTACCAATATGGTGCTGCGATCCCTTGTGAATAGGCTGACATATGCACCCTGATGTTATTCTAGAACACACTGGGCCATTTCCTGTCCGCCGCGCTCGTAATCTCGGTACACCCGAACATACAGATATATGTGCTAGAACATAACCGGGCCCCCTCATGTCTACCGACATCCTAACTCCATGCTATGTACTGACCTACCTGGGCCCATTCGTGTGGGTACCAATCCCATGCCATGTATTGACTGATCTGGGCCTGCCGTATATACCGAAATACCGAACCTATGTCATGACCAGGCCCACTCATGTATACCATGATTCGAATACCATACCTTGTACTGACCTTGTCAGGCCCAGTCGTGTCTACCGATATCCTGATCCAATGTCATGTACCAGGCCCACTCGTGTATACCCTACTTATATTACAATACCATCTCATGCACTGTATGCACTTGGGCCCATTCGTATCTGCCAAGATCTTGATTCTATCAGTCCTGATTCGGCCCATCTGTATATACTGAAATTGTATTATATACCACATACTGGCCCATCCATCAATATTGAACAGCAATATCCATGTAGGCCCGACCGACTCTAACAGCACTCACTTGCCATTTGGGCCCACCTCGGATGACCTGTCTCACTCGGAAGTATCTCAACTTCGGCTGTCCGTATAATATGGAAAATATTTACTGAATTATGTGAGGGAATGTTAAGTTATGATTTCATAGAACAAAAATGTTGTTGTTGGCAGGTTTCCAACCTGCAGAGTTCAAGAGAAACAGATTTTAACTCTGGCGACAACTTGACCAAGACCAATGAAGATCAATGTCTGAGATACCATCTATGAGCCAACATTCAAGGCACGTTCTCATAGAAAAAATGTGACATTTGACAGGTTTTAAACCTGTCGCATTCCAATAGAAACAGATTTTGATTCTGTTGCGACAACCACTTGGCTAAAGCCAACTTTGATCAGCTTGCAAGCAAACCAACCATGAGCAAATTTCAAGGTGCATTTTTATAGAAAACAAATGTTGCAACTGGCAGGTTTCAAACCTGCACATTCCAAGAGAAACAGATTTTAACTCTGGGGATCACTTGATCAATTTCATCTTTGGCGGGTTTTGAACCCACGCAGACAGATTTAGATTCTGTCATATTAACTGCTTGGCTAAGAACAGTTAGATGCACCTCCAATGGACCCATTCACAAGTGAATCATCAAGGCATATTTATCTGCATTTTGTCAGTTCTTGTTAAGAACGTGCTCAAGGGTCGGATCCGAAGGGCTTGGCTTCAGCTCGTGCACTGCGCCCCTTACCCGAGTACATGCCCCTAACTTCCGAAGGCTGTCGAACGATGTCCGAAGGTTACCGGACGATGTCCGGAGGGCGTCGGGCAATGTCCGGAGTCCGATGTCCGATGCGCGGGAATTCCGGCGGACGTTTCGGGAACAAGAGATAAGACTAATCCGGACGAAGTCTGAACTAGAAAGGAAACAGCGGAGGACTACCAAAGGTAGAGGCAGAGGTGACAAGTCTATAGGAATCAATCCTAAGACGAGCGGAGGTCGACGAGAGAGATACTCAAGTCGGACGGAGGAGAGAATGAGCAGAGTCTAAGATAATATTCGAACTGAGGAAACTACAGAGACTGTACAGGGTTTATATACTACTGAGGACATAACGGAGAACAGTAAGTGCAGTGCAAGGCTATGTCAAGCTATGGATAAAACATATGGGACGACTATTACTAGTCTATCGGAACTTAGTAAAATGAAGACGGAAATGAATAAGGGACAGAAAATAAAGCGTACTAACTGATAAGGGAAATACCAAAGGGATAAGGCACGGAGGTTAGATGCGGGTCGGATCCGGACGATACATAGAAGTCGGCCGGATCCGGAAATCCGGAAATGATGGGTGTGATAGGTCCGGATCCGGAACGCGGGATATGACAGTTCTTTCAATAATATGGTCGCTGCGATTGATTCTTTTATTCTACTCTTATCGCAAAAGACATCAGACTTCTCCTGGGCCTCTACTTCAAGACCTGTTTATCCAGCAATTGCTCAAAAAAAGTGCTGATGGCAGATCACAACGGTGGGCCAATGATGTTCGTGATGTCTTGGGATTAACAACCGGGTCATGAGTGACAACTGACAATAGAAGGATCACATATGGTTGAGCTCAAGGGTGGTGTTAGAAATTAATGTTAGAACTGACAAAATGTACCTTGAGGATTCACTTCTGAATGGATTCAATGGGAGTGCATCTAACTGGTCTTAGCCAAGCAGTTAATATGACAGAATCCAAATCTGTCTGTGACAGGTTCAAAACCTGTCAAAGATGAAATTGCAAGTGATCATCAGAGTCAAAATCTGTTTCTCTTGGACTGCGCAGGTTTGAAACCTGCCAATGATAACATTTTTGATTTTATGAAATCACATCCTGTCCCATACCAAGCACTGCATTTCTGTGTGCGCCCTACATTACATGTCCATCTGTTGTCCAATCCAACACTGCTGGTATAATATTTTCATCATTTGAAGGATTATGATTGGACTTAAGGGGGATGTTGAAAATTAATATTAGAACTGACAAAATGCAGATAAATGTACCTTGAGTATTCACTTCTGAATGGGCACATTTAGGGTGCATCTAACTGGTCTTAGCCAAGCAGTCGATACAACAGAATCTAAATCTGTCTGTGTGGGTTCAAAACCTGCTAAAGATCGAATTGTCAAGTGATCACCAGAGTCAAAATCTGTTTCTCTTGGAATGTGCAGGTTTGAAACCTGCTCACAATGAATTTTATTTTCTATAAAAACACACCTTGACAATAACATTTTTATTTTGATTGTATGAATAATGAAATCACACCTTCACATTTCCACATGAATGTATAGCAAGCAAACACTGATGATCTAAAGCTTGATTGACATTGCTGTTGGTTTCATGCATCCTTTTTTGCTAGGTGAATGCGAGAATTTTTGACACAGAGTTTGATATATGACCAAAATCTCGATGCAAACTTGGAAGGATCAGCATAAGAACAATTTAATTCTTTCTCAAGGTCTTGATTCTGTTGAAGAAGAAGAAGAGCAGATTACACATCAAACTTGCAAGTTTCATCCTAATGACCTGGGGAATGAGGAAAAATACAAATATATCAAGGCTGAGATTGTGCCTTGAGGATTCACTTTTGAATGAGTTCATTGGAAGTGCATTCAACTAGTCTTAGCCGAGCAGTTAATACAACAGAATCTAAATCTGTCTGTGTGGGTTCAAAACCTGCTAAAGATTAAATTGTCAAGTGATCGCCAGAGTCAAAATCTGTTTCTCTTGGACTGTGCAGGTTTGAAACCTGCCAATGATAAAATTCATTTTTTTCCTATGAAAACACACCTTGAAATTTGCTCATGGTCGCTTTGCTTGCAAGCTGATCAAAGTTGTGTTTAGCCATGTGACTGTCATAACAGAGTCATGCTCGTCCTTTGTCCATCCATTCCATGTCCATTCGGTTCGTTGGTGCATATTTCTATTCTATTTCTGTGAATTCTGACAGTATTGCTGGCACTATGCACACACATTCCATAATGCTATGTCATGGACCCTTATATTACATATTATCACGCACTCACTTCGCTTCTCAGTTTGCTTTAGCGCTTGACATTACTTACATAGTTCATGTATGTTTTTCTCTCTTGACAAATTAACCACCATCATCTTGCTGTGACACTCAGAACCGTGCTGGGCAGGAATGAGCCTATTTTTATATATGCATCAAGGAGTATAGAGCACTATCAGTTTCCCTATCCTTGTTCATCATTTGTCCAACAATTAACTCCTGTGCAAACCCGAACCCACACTTTCCTGCACACTTGTTTTCTATAAAAATGCACCTTGAAATTTGCTCATGGTTGGTTTGCTTGCAAGCTGATCAAAGTTGGCTTTAGCCAAGTGGTTGTCGCAACAGAATCAAAATCTGTTTCTATTGGAATGCGACAGGTTTAAAACCTGTCAAATGTCACATTTTTTCTATGAGAACGTGCCTTGAATGTTGGCTCATAGACGGTATCTCAGACATTGATCTTCATTGGTCTTGGTCAAGTTGTCGCCAGAGTTAAAATCTGTGTCTCATCACTGACTGTCTGCCCTCTGGGGGCTTCGACTCAGTCATGGTCATGGTAGACCATGGCCTTATGAAGCAAAGAATGATTACTCATTATAACAAGATTTTACATCAGAAGGAGTAGTCAAACTCTTTTTTAAGAATGTCTTCAAACATTTTAGATTCCACAATAAGGTTATCTCGGATTGCGGTGTAAAGAGTAGATCCTGTGTGGACACTTAGAAAGTGATCACCTCAGAACTCAGAGTGCGAGTGTAAGTCGTCCCACAGAGACTGCCTGTAGAACTACCTCTTAAAATATAAGTGCAGAGAGGTCTGTTAAGATTGAGGATGAGAGAATGGAAAGTCATCCAAGGTGCTTTTGAAGTTCTGAAGATGTGTCAGTATGTCTAAGTATAAGACTTGCGAGAGTACTAAAGTACGACTATGCAAAGTCTATTGAAAGAACTCAAAGATATTGAGATGGGAAATGGCAGTGGTCAAGCCAAACAATCATTCCAAATGAACAAGAAGGATCGATTGCGCAAAGTATAACTATCCGAAAGCGACTCTACTAACTATGACTCATAGCAAGGGAAGTGAAGTGAAATGCGAGTAACTAGTGAATCAGATTATATCCTACAGCATGAAGGTCTGGAAACTGCATAGGCAAGAACAGTAGCGAGATAAGCTATCCGAAATGTAATAAGACTCAAGGCGAGCTGCTACAAAGATATGCATGCAATAGCGCATGAGGCACGCAGCTATACATATCAATCAAGCTTTCAATGGGCCGATGATGTATGTGCCCCTAAGCAATATGTCGGAAATTTCCCACCACAATTGTAATAGCAGGTCATTAAAATAAATATAATATTAAAATTGTAATGGTACCTCGCATCATTGCAAGGTATCGTAATGCTTTGTACATGTGTGTCAAGCAGTTGCAATGAGATTCAGACGTGACCAATATAGATTAAACTCGCCGTTGTTGTTTCTCATTTGAGTTGGTCAAACGGATCAGTAAGTATTACGCCTTAAAGCTGCTTCCAGTACTCATGAATTAAACTATTAATACAGGGACCAACATGGCAGAGGTGGCCCAATGCGACCTCTGTAGTAAATCTTTCAAGCTGCGTGGTTTCAAGACACATCGCACCACCTGTGCAAAACGTGCAAGGGACTTTGAGGAGGACCGGAATCACATTGTGAACACTTATCATGGACCTTCAGGTGCGTTCATTCTCATTCAGTCTTAATAAGATCCCTGGACATATTAATGTACACTCAACTATAGTAAATATACCAATCGATGCACACCATGGAGCCGACGAGTCGAATCAGCCTGAGGCAGAGAGTTTGAATGCGTACATTTCAGATGAGCCAGTTGCAGATGTTGACCAGTGGATGGATCTTGAGGAGGAAGGTGAGCCAAAAAAGACCATCCTTATCTTCGATGTTATAACTAGCCGCCATTTGATAGATATTTATCGCATACCTTCATCACATGAACCATCTGTAGATGGCTCAGAACATCGACACAATGTTGACGACATTCAGACCGAGTATCACCCTAACTCTGGAATCCCAGCACAGACACAAACATTCTCAACATTTCAGCGCGACCTTTTGCAAGACCCACCAACTCCTGATGCGCAACCTTGGGCGCCATTTCGATGTCGGCTGGACTTTGAGGTAGCTGAACTTGCTCATGAAGCCACTCTCAGCCAGCCTCAAATTGAGCGGCTAATTGACCTTTTGCATCACTCGAAGCAGGAACCTTTCAGCCTGTGCAACTACAAAGATATTCGGAACATGTGGAGTGCTATTTCCCATCGTCTAACACCAGTAAGGTCATCTCTATTTTTCATTTTAACTTGTCTGACAAGCGTGTTTTGATAGTTTCAAAAGCGAACAATTCGAGTGCCTTACGATGGAGTTGATCAAGAATTCACTCTCTACTACCGGGACTTATGGGACTGGGTGTGCGACCTTCTTCGCGATCCTTATCTTGGCCCTCAATTTACCTTCGACGCTCAACACCTGTCAAAGTTTGACGGTAATACATTTGTGAGATTTATTGACGAGCCTTGGACTGTGGATACTTTTTGGGAGGCTCAGGTATGTGTCGAGCAGTGCACCATTAGTTGAAGCGACTCAGTGTAATACATCCAGTCAGCTATGCAAAGCCATGCAAAGCCTCTCGCATTCATCCTCTACGCAGATAAGACAAAGTTGTCTTCCTTTGGTCGTGAAAAAGGCTACCCTGTGATTGCCTGTATTTCAAACCTCCCTGCATCCATCCGAAATGGTGAAGGCATTGGTGGCGGTCAAGTTGTCGCCTGGCTCCCCATTGTATTGTGATTCTATCTCATCTCATTTTTGTTTAACTAACATTGATTTTTTTCAAGGTCAAAGATGATCCCTTGAGGTCGGGAAAACAGAAATTTGCGGATTTCAAAGCTGCAGTTTGGCACGAGTCCTTCAAGCGAATACTCAAGTGTCTTAGATCGAAGAGGAAATGTGGTGGATGGGTGGAGTGTTGGGATGAACTTCAACGCCTTATGTTCCCTATCGTTCCGATCTTGTCTGCGGACTACGAGGAACAGTGTGTACAGTCTGGAGTGTCATCTATCATTGTTGCTAACATGTAATGTCTGCAGATGCATTATGTCCCTGATCCGTGGAGTCATGGGCAAATTTCCATGTCCAATTTGTTTGGTTCCGCGCGCCGAGTTGCATAACCTGTTGAAGACCTGGCCACTTCGCACACGTCACGATGCTGTTTGCTTGCTCAGGAAGGCAAGAAGGAAGTACACCAAGGCAAAGTGAGAGAAGAAGCTGAAGTCTCAGTCGTTGAGAGATGTCGAAGTAAGTATTATTTGAATCCCATATTTCTGGAATCAAGTTCACAGCATAACTCAACAGAACTCTCTCAATCTATCAAAGCTTCTGGACATCTTTCATGCCCTTTGTTTTGACCGCCTACATACTCACCATGAAGGACTGTGGGGAAAACACTTGTGGATCGAGCTGCAAAAATGTGTCAATGAAGTTGGTAGACACGCTGCGACTAAAATTGATGAAGGGTCTGTTTTTTTTTGTTTCATCGTAAACATCTATTATAAGCATTCCTCAGGTTTGCAGTAGTGCCAAGGTGGAGGAATCTCAACCACTTCAAGGAGGTCATGGGAGTTAGCTTCGCTGATGGGACAAAGCATGAAGACATATTAAAGGTGATCGACTCGGACACTCTTGAGATCTCAATTCTAATTGATGTCCCTTTACATGTAGTTGATTCTGTTTGTTGCCCATGACGTACTCGATCCTGAAACACACAAGTCTGGATATCTGCTCCTTCAATGTATTCGAGCCCATTTAGATGTAGACATGTTCGCAGCTCTTGAGGTTCATACCACACAGACCCTTGCTGCCGGTCGAGCCACTCTTGACGAGTTTTCAAGACTCATGGACATAAGTTGTGCTTCACTGACATGCTAGCGCTGTCTGAATCAAACGGCTGATGGATCCTCCATAGAAATATATTTCCGAGTCTGAATGTGAATCAAAGAGTTGGGATTTTCCAAAATATCACTTGGGCGTTCACCTTTTTGACGATATCAAGGCCAAAGGCGTTACTCGGAATTTCAATACCAAACCAAACGAGAAAGCGCATTGCATTGATTACTGTGAATACTAATAGATCTTACGTGCGGACCATTGGAGCCTTGTATCTGCATGGATTCGCTATCGCATCAACGACCTTGATGCCTATAATGCAAGGAAAGAAGCGAGTGATCTTGATGATTCAGATTCCGATGATGAAGTTCTGAACGCGCCTGGACCGGAGTCCAGCTTTCATATCAAGCTTGGTTCATGTCAGTGTGCATCGTCGATACATGCCATTCAGCAAGCACACCTTGAAGACCCGGCATTTCATCAGTTTCATACCAAACTTAACCGCTTTCTCAACATGATACCTGTCATTGCACGAAATGGACATGTTGCACTTGAATTAAGTGCCAATATAGTGAGATTCTCGTTCATATTGATAAGCCAGCTACAGCGCTAATACTTTGATTTGTGCCGCACATGCAGGTAACAGAATTCCGGTACTTGAAAGCAAACTTCGAGTCGATGGTTGATTTTTGGACATCGACAGACTACCTCCGCTGTTCCCCGATGTTTCACAATGCCCCAAGATATGACTCCGTCATCATCAGGACTCAAGACAGGATCATCTTTGGTCGCTTGATATTCATATTCACGTGCTTAGTTGAAGGCACAAGTCACCCCATGGCTCTTATTCAACCTTGTGATGCCCCCATTCAAAATCGACCTTTGAAGGACAGGCTCCTGGGTTTATGGCGAGTTGGAGCTCAACCTCAGCATAAGAGTGAGTTTATTTTCACTGAATCGATTATCAGGGGGGCGCTGTTGCTTGAGGATCGCTCTCAGCCTGGTGACTTCCTTGTTGTCGATTCAATCGACACTGATATGTTCCTTCACATGAAACTTCACAAAGACTCCCATGTATACTGATTACGCCAGTGTTATCTTAATCACTCTCTTATGTCATCATATACTTGACAATTCATATGCATGATCTTGCATTGCAAGGTTATGGTTAGTTCTAGTAAGACCTCCTGCTCCCTAACATGCCAGGTGCGCTAAAGATTCAGACGCTGATGAGCAATTAAACTATCAGGTGAGTGCTCCGTTCATAACTGACTGGGAAGCTTACCTGCTTTTTGTTAGTGTTAATACGACAGGTGCATTGGAGAAGCTCATGAGTCCTCCGTTCATGAGTATGGGTAACTGTCTGGTGAGTTTTACTCTATTCACGATTATGGACTGGAAAGCTCACTTACCTGCTTCTTATAGTACCAGGTGCATTGGAGAAGCTCATAAGCACTCCGTTCATGATTATGGACTAGAAAGCTCACTTACCTGCTTCTTATAGTACCAGGTGCGTTGGAGAAGCTCATGAGCGCTCCGTTCATGATTATGGGTGACTGTCTGGTGAGTACTGTATTCATGATCATGGACTGGAAAGCTTGCTTACCTACTTCTGATAGTACCAGGTGCGTTGGAGAAGCTCATGAGCGCTCCGTTCATGATTATGGGTTGGAGAAGCTCAAGAGCGCTCCGTTCATGATTGTATTAGGTCTAGGACGAAACATTTGATCCCGTGGAACCAATTCGCCTGTCTGTGCTCCACCTGTGCTCGTCCGAAGGCCAGTTGGAAGCCATCAAGCAGCGCAATCGACTCTTGGAAGAAAAGAATGCAATCTTGGAGGCGAACAAACCTTCTCGCAAAGCCTCCAAGGCACCCTCCCAGCTTCTAGCATTTGACGAGGAAGTGAAGATGTTCGCTAAGAAGTATGGCATCATGTACGAGATGTACCCACCCAGCACCGAGCTACTAAAGAAGACTCTTCCCTCGACCCCTGGTTTGCCGTTTGACCGACCGGCTCACTATGCGAACTCAGCTGCAGAAGCAGACACATTATTGTCCGAGCTACGTAGTGTACTCCCGGATCACCTGCACCATCTTGTGCCCTTAAATCATTTTCATAAGACTGTACGTATGTATATCATTGATTGACTTCAATATTTGCTAATCTTCATCGTCCAGCTACAACAAGCACTTGAAGCAGGTCGGTCTTCCGAACTCATCAAGTTGTGACGAGTTGCTGGTCGCATTTTTGGGCTAAGCTCTGATTACTTTGTCATGTCTTCAAAGTGAGACACCATCGACAAGCTTTGTAGGTTGCTAGGCACTACACCCGGAAGCCGTACCTACCCACTATTTCCTCCCATTCTCTTTCCAAATGCCATCATCAATACTAGCAATTCAACTGTATTCGGTAACTGGAAGCCCTTGGCTCAGGTATGTTGCCATTTCCTCATTTGTATACAGCTTATTGACAACAACTATGTCTTTTGAACAGATCCTGAAAGTGGTTTTAATGGGCGAAGCATCCCTTACGTCTGTCAAGAAGGGTGGGCCACCCAGGAACTTTCAGAATTGGGGAGTATCTGCCATAACACCCGGAGCAATTGCGTGGAGTACTACAATTGTAAGCGGTTTATTTTATCACTCTTGTCATCGCTAAGTACTCCTTATCCCAGGCTATTTTTCTTTTATCGCCAGATACAGTATTCTCTCAAGACGGCCATGGCAAAAGCTCGGGGATTCAGTATAAAAATCTATTCTACAGCTTCAAGAAGATTCTGGTGTGTTGTTGGGATGCTCCGTATCTCATGAAGATTAGACAACACATCGAGGGACATGTCTTTGGAGCTGCGAAGCTGCCCGTTGATGCACCCGATGGGGAAGACTTTACTGCGCAGATGGCGCTTGCAATGGCTGGCTTGCAATCTAACGACATTGACCATGATTTGGATTCTACCCCTGTGGGTGACCTTGCTCAGGGTACTGACATCACCCAGTCCGCTCTGAATTCACCACTATCGACTCCAAGGTTATCCACGCGGACCATGCCTTCTGAAATATTACCTTCCGATGGTTCCAGTGCTCCTCCGATGCCACTGCCTGCTCCTGCAATCACCAATCAGATTCAGAACTCACTTGTTACTGATGGTGGGTGACACAGAGCTCGATGAAGGGGTTACTCAAACCGTAGATGCAGAGGGTCATACTCGAGGACGGAAGAAAAAGAAGGCTGTGGCTAATCAAGTCTCTTGCAAGTCTGTCCGTCAGAAGAAATGATATTCAATTGCTTCGCAAGATGTATTAGTTAGTTGTTGCATCATGTTCTACTTATTACAGTGTCCAGTCAGACGCATTGCAATCGATTACATCAGCCTTGCATAACTTGTTTGCTTTTTTCACTCTGTTGCCTGAACCAGACTGTCACTTAATAATACAACACCACCAGCACCATGCGCAAACGCCCAATGCACGCCAGCAAGTGCTGACATGGCACGAACACTTGCGGACGACACCAGGACGCCGAAGGTGACAAAAGAATGAGAGGCAGCACTCATTCTCGCTCACTCGCAGTGCATGTAGACTCGACGACTCTGGATGGGGAGTCGCAGTGAGTGAGTCTGTCAATCCTCGGTTGAGCAACAGCCATGCCGATCCAAGTCGTTGCCCATCGTTCGCAGGATGTGAGTGTGTCGATCCTCGTTCGAGTAACAGCCATGCTGATCTGAGTTGTTCCCGCCATTTGCAGTGTGTCGATCCTCCGTCGAGCTCGAGCCATGCTGATCGAAGTCATTGCCCACCATTCGCAGTGTCTTGGTGAGTTTATCCTTACTTGCGATCATTTTTTTCATATTTTGACATGCCCCTCAGGCTGCTGGCTCAATTTTCAATTGACTACTACTGGCACAGGTTTCACCCTGAACCCTGGTTGCACAGCGACCTCATAACATATTACCGCTGATCTAGACATTTGACTACAGCTTGTTTTGAGTACTAATAGAATAATATTGTATTGATAGTAGCAGTCCAATGATACAATTTATGAACAATGCCAGTTGTGAATAAGTTACAATCTTCTCGCAATCGCATTTGGAGTATTGCAACAAGTCTCATGGGACTTGCAAATGCAATTTTAATGATTATTGTAGCAGATATTATAATGAGCTCTGCGACGTTCGAATAAGCTCCAAATGGGGAGTGCAAAGGTATCGCTATTCATTAAAATTTCTATTGCCAGCGTTGTTACAAATCGAATTATAATAATAATAATAATTTTATTGTAATACGACTCTCTTATTACATCAGGATTAAAATAGTGCAGCCGAATTTGTCTATTTCAATCCATTATGATGGCTTAAAATGGATTTTTGAATTTTCCGACATAATCAATAGAAGATAAACAAAGTGAAGATGCACCAGCAAAGTCGAACGGACACGGATGGGACATGGTACAGAGGATCAGAAGTGTAAACAGGCCTCAGAAGGAGATGTACAACCTTTGGATGACTCGGATGAGTGCACAGAACTCTTGGAAGGTAAGAGGAGTGCCGAGGAGTATAATGTGAGACACCTATGAGATTGGCAGGATACGTGCCCGACGCCGATCTGAGTGCTACAGCAGTCAGCAGGCAGTTCATCTCAAAATTCTCTCAAGAACTCACTTAGCTCCTTGGATATAAGATCACCACATCTACCACATACCACCTCCAGACCGATGATCAGACAGAACACCTCAACCAAGAATCAGAAACCTATTTTTGCATCTATTGCAGAACCAATCCTATGGAATGGTCTGAGCACCTCCCCCTTGCTGAATTTGTTCACAACCACCAAAAACACAAAGTCTGTAACTCCTCCCTTTTCCTCCTCATGATGGAAGATGAACCACGTGGCATCCCCCATGTCCTCCCTTCTTTGGATACTCTTGCAGCAAAAAAACAACTTAGCAATCTCCAAAAGATCTGTAAGAACTGTCCCGAGTACACATGCTGTGTATGCCACATCTTTGCGCCCCGCAGCTTGCCTTAGCCAGACACCTTGATCTCTCAGTCAAGAGTAGAACCCTGCTTGTCACTCTAGCTTCCTGCTAGTAGACCTGTCCATTTGGACATTGACAACTCGACCAATCCCAGTTGTGAAAATATACAATTTTGTCAAGGCTGAGATTCTTTATTGAGCTTATTCAAGTGGTTGCCAGAGTCAAAATATATTTCTCTCAAACTAAGCAGGTATGTAATCTATATAATGATGTTTATTGAAAGAACTGACAAAATGCAGAAAAATGTGCTTTGAGGATTCACTTTTGAATGAGTTCATTGGAAGTGCATTCAACTAGTCTTGGCCAAGCAGTTAATACAACAGAATCTAAATCTGTCCGTGTGGGTTCAAAACCCGCTAAAGATTAAATTGTCAAGTGATCACCAGAGTCAAAATCTGTTTCTCTTGGACTGTGCAGGTTTGAAACCTGTCAATGACATATCTTATTTTCTATAAAAATACTCCTTGACATGTCATTGCCACAAATAGATTCAAAATCTGATTCTCCTGGATTGAGCAGGTATGAAATCTAATTTTTTTATTCTATGAAATTACACCTTGCTTTTCACAAGCACTTTGGCTCTGCCTTGTGGAAGCACTACCGCTGTATGATTCAGCATTATGAGCCATAACTATTAGCTATTAGAATATCACTGTACTAGACATCCTGGCTGTCCTGAACAGACAGGTCGCTGAATTTCTGCTAATTTTTCAAATGCCAATATCATTATGCAGGCATCCTCAATGCATCCTGCAGACAATTGAGTCAAATGGTTTGCAAAATTTATTGATGATGTAGATGTGAATATGTTCTGATGGCAGGTCAATCAGATGGATCCATCTAATGTTAAAGGTGAGGATCGTGCTTTTGATCAAAGAGTGATGTTTTGAATCTGCTCAATCCAGGAGAATCAGATTTTGAATCCATTTTGGGAGTAACACGACCAAGACCATTGAAGATTAGTTTGTGAGAAAAATATCTATGAGGGAATGTTAAGTTATGATTTCATAGAACAAAAATGTTGTTGGCAGGTTTCGAACCTGCAGAGTTCAAGAGAAACAGATTTTGAATCTGGCGACAACTTGACCAAGACCAATGAAGATCGATGTCTGAGATGCTGTGTATGAGCAAATATTCAAGACATGTTCTTATAGAAAAAATGTGACATCCCACAAGTTTCAAACTCGTTGCACTCCAATGGAAACAGAATTTTATTCTGCGATAACAGCCGCTTGGCTAAACACAACTGGGATCAGCTTGCAAGCAAACCGACCATGAGCAAATTTCAAGGTGTGCTTTCATAGAAAATCAATTGTATCACTGGCAGGTTTCAAACCTGCATGGTCCAAGAGAAACAGATTTTGACTCTGGTGATCACTTGGCAAATTCATCTTCAGCAGGTTTTGAACCCACGTAGACAGATTTAGATTCTGCTGTATTAACCGCTTGGCTGAGACCAGTTAGATGCACTCCCAATAAATACATTCAGAAGCGAATCCTCAAGGCACATTTACCTGCATTTTGTCAGTTCTTTCAATAGCATGATCATCATTTATTGATTTTATCCTGCTCAAACCTGCCAATTGCAACATTTGCTTGGGCACAAACATCAATTTCTAACATCCACCTTGGATTCAACTGTGCAATATTTTTATTGTCAGTTTTCACTCATGAGCCCACTGTGATGGTCTGCCATCAGCACTTTTTCAAGGAAATTGTTAGGTAAACAGGTCTTGAAGTTAAGAGCCCCAGCAGAAGTCTGTGTCTTTTGCAATAAGAGCAGTATACAAGAATCAACGGTGACCATGCTGTTGAAAGAGCTCAGGCTTCTCTATTTTGAGATAAGTGCTATTGTATATGCAAGAGTATGACCACAGCTCAGGTGCTGATAGATGAACCTACTTTCATTCAGTGCACTGAGGGTGTTGGAGACGATGTGCTTCCATGAATACACACACTTGCAGTTCGAACATTGGTAGGGCAGGGTGTTCCCGAACAGGCGGTTGGCATCATGGAAGAAAGTATATGTTAAAATAGTCATTGAGGCCATAGTGGTTGACATGTGCTTTACTTTCTGATGGTACTCTATCATGATAGGCTGACACTGGTGAAAGGCAGTTGGATTGTGTATGTGTATGATGGAGAAATACATTGCAATGCAAGAGCATGCATTAAGGAGGTCGGAAATGACTTCTTGTGCCTCACAACCTTCAACAAGTACCTGGCAGACATAGGTGGTAAGTGGTATGGTCAGGCATGCATGAAATGTAACACCGAAAGCAAATAAATGTTCCACCTGATACCTGTAAAAACAGTGTTCATTGCCAATATGGCACAGACAAGTTACTCACTGTTTTTATGCAAGTTTTCAACAGCTGGAATGAGTTGTGCTCCTGTACCGTGTGCCTGCAAATCAGCATCCAAAGTGTAGCCCTCCTAACATAATCCTCTATCCCACCGACAAAAATCCCTGCAAAGAACTATGAAGGGTTATGCATCATAAAGAAGGATAGGTCTAACTCACATCATCTATGGGATATGCGACAGGATTGCCTAGTGTGGCGACTTTATTTTTTCCCCTTCACACAAAATCGCCATCCTCAAACCCACCCCATATGTTGCCCTGGTCAGTCTCTGAATGAGTGTAGATGAAAATTTCAACACACTCATACTCTGGGGTTTTCAGGTGGGCCATGAGTGCCTTCATGGACTCCACATCAGGAAGGATGAAAGGAATGTGAGAGACAAATGAGCATAACTAGTGAATGAAAAAAAAAAGTTTTATGTAACATGGTCAGACCGCCGCCTGTACATAACCGTTACACCAAAAGGTGAAATACTGAAAGCTTAGCTTTCAGTATCAGCCACAGTATATGTACTGATTATGAGAACTCAGGTAAGCCAGCGTGCTTACACCAAAGAATTGGCTCACATGCTGTTGCATGTTTTTGGCTGGAGGGAATCACACTGAATGATGTAAATGTTCTTGAGATGTAAGGCTCAGGGAATATTATCTTATTATCATACCTCTGATGAGAAAGACTTGTCTTACATTCATGTACTTGAGCATTGTGAGTGATCTTTGTGGTAGCATTGCCATAGGTTTCTGCAAGGATGGAAGTGATTCAAAAAAAAGTAATTCATGTTTAAATGATGTTCTGTGTGTAGGACATGATGCAAAAATTTATTATGTTCCTTCAAGGGTAATACCGTATTTTTTACCTATTGTCTGGAGGAATGCCATCTTTGCCATCCACCCTATCTCCAAACAGATCATATTCTTCTGGCAGAGGATTATCATCATTCAAGTTTACTATATGAGCTTTGTGACAGGTGGAATGACAGATGTAGTATACTTTGGGCAGTATTCACGCACTTGTGTGGGTTTTTATAATCAGTTAGCCTGTTTTCTATATACTCACTGCAGGCGCACTTAGAGTGTGGGTGATATAGTTTGCTGTTTATTAGTCTGTTGGCCGCTGATCTCAGATCTTTTACTGACACAATCTTGTGTGTCTTCTGTAGACATTCATCCCGTGTCTTATGATAGGTTTTTGGGGAGGCTCCCAAATGCAACCAAGCTGGGAGCTGGTTCTTGAGGTTTTCAGATATCTTCAGTGGGGTGAAGCTCATATTATGCTTTCAGGCAACTTTCAGCATGTCTGTGATTTGTCACAGCAGTTTCTTGGCTCTCGGTCCTTGCAGTGGAGAGTCCCAGGACGTTAAGAAGGTTCATATGTCTGCACTGTCAGTGATCCCATTAGGGTTCAGGACATTTATTATAGAGTCCATCACAAAGGCCCATGCTGGTTGGGACTTAGACATATTCATGTACACCCTTAGCCAAGTAATTTCAATAGCTTTATTTTGTGTACTAATGTTTAGCAGGTTTATACCTCCTTTCCATGTTGGCTGTTCTGGCCTTCCTAGGCCGATAGGTGAGATCTTTCTTTTGTCCTACACAAAGTCTTTAATTAGTTTCATTATCACTTTCTCTATCATCTTCGGCATTTCTTGTGCTTTTGTCAGGAATTGTGACATTCCACCAATGACCATTTGCACTATTAGGTGCTTCCCATTGAGAGTTGAGTGGCATGTGTTCCATCTCGCAAGGTGTTTTTCAATCTTTGATAGTATCAGTTTCCATGAGGCTAAGTATTCTATCTCATTTCCTATCCAGGCTCCCAGTGTCCTTATTGGGTTTCCATCTTGTGCTACCATGACCTGCTCACTCCACGGCACGTCTAGAGCATTCAATTTCCGGTCTTGCACTACCGCTGCATGATGATCTTTCATGCCAATAGGTAATATTTCAGTTTTCTCCATATTGAATTTGGCTCCTGATGCTAGGCACCATCGTTGTAGGATATCCTCCAGGTCTGAGTATTTATCATCATGCTAAAGGTAGACTGTCAATCTTAGGTGGGTTGTGAAGTATGAACACTAGTAGTTCAATTGCTAAGTCGAAGAATAGGCATGACAAGATATCGCCCTGTCTACCACCCCTTGTAACCTAGAATGAGAGCTCAAGAATCTGTTGACTGCAACACAGGTGAAGGCTGCCTTGTATAGGTTTTTCACTATGTTGATAAACATCTGTGGCAGTTTAAAGGTTTCCATGATGTCAAATAGGTAGTCATGTTTTATTCTGTTGTATGCTTTTTCTTAGTCGAGTGTGATGATCACACTGTTTTCCTCCATCAGGTTAGCATATGCAGACATAGTCTATGCCAATCTTATTGGGTCAAAGATAGACCGTTTGGGGATGAATCTGCTCTGGTTCTGGTGTACTAAGGTGTGTATTTCTCTCACCATCTGCATTGCTAAGGCTTTTGTGAGGGTTGTCTGCCTCATGTCTTATTATCTTGATAGATCATTTACAAGCTCCGCTTGAATATTCACTATATAGACATGTAATACATCAATTGTATTCTTCACTTTAATCTACTGGGTTTTACCTAGAACTTGTCCTTCAGCAAGGTCTCCAATCTTGCTGTCTAAGAACTACTATTCTAGGGGAGTTGCCTACACTCGCCTTAGCCTGAAACCTTTGACCTCTCATTCAAGAGAAGAACCATGTCCATCTTGCTATCAGCAGAACATCTATTTGGACTTAGACAGCTCACTTACCCTAGTCATAACAAAAGATGAAAGTTTTATCCTGGACATCGCCATCTGTGACGTCCTCAGACACCACAACTTCATTAACTGCTTTGATTGGAGCATTGAACCTTAGCGCATTACCACTCATACCACCCCTGAACACCACGTAGAACGTAAACAAAGAAATAGAAATCAAGATTGGTACTCCTACCAAATTTGATGGAGACCGCGATGAATCTGAAAGGTTCATGTTGAATTGTCATGCCTACCTTGATAACAATGACAAGATCTATAATGATGACAAGAGGAAGGTCATCTTCATTCTATCATTCATGACTAAGGGCAATGCTGCCACTTGGAAAGAAGACTTCATGAGGGCTGTGCAAGACCCCACCAGATTGAACACCGCTGGACAAGTCATCGGCTATGGAACCTGGGCCGCTTTCAAAGTCAAATTCAAGGATGCCTTTAGGGCCATAGACCCGGCAGGGACCACCATGTTCAAAGTCTGTGCCCTCAAAATGAACAGAGACCTCCAGACCTATGTCTCTAACTACCACCTTCTTGCCTATAAAGCCAGAATAACTGAGAATGTCACTAAAGTGGGATTCTTCTGCGAGGGATGAGACTTGTCCCTTTGTGACAGCCTCCATCATACTGGAGAAACCCTTGACAACTTTAAGACCATTGTGAACACCTGCATCAACCTTGATAATGCAGCTCAAAGGTTGAAAGCTATCAAGAGGTGGAAGAACCCGTTCTGGCAGAAGAAGAAGAATTTTGGAAATTGTAAGTACACCCCATACAGGGAGACACCATGGAAGTTGATCACATCGAGCAACTCTCCAACCAGAAATGAAGAGACACCTCAAGGAAGGACAGTGCTTCAACTGCCACCAAGTGGGACATCGCGCCAATGATATCACATTCCACCTACACAATGACAAGAAGAAGAAAGCACCTATCCACAGGAAAACGGAGAAGGAAGAGAAGGAAAGCAGTGGTGACAAAGTCAAAAACCACCACTTTGTGGAAAGGGATTTTCAAAAAGGAAGACTACTCTGACGTCAGTACTTCCCATTCCTATCTGACTTGTACAATCACTTGGAAACAAGAAGGAACTTAGAGTTCTAGCTACCCTCATTTCTGAAAAGTGTATGAAAACCGTCAAAACCTCTATGGTTGTGGACTCAGGAGCATCAGGAACATTCATAAGTGATGCCTTCTGTAAACTACACAAAATGTGCAGGGTAGCATATGATGTGAATCTGATGTGCTCAAGCATATTGAAGAAACCCTCAAGTGTAATGTGAATTGTGACTATCCACAATCAGAAGGTGGTTGTGTCCATTAGCCTTTTCTTTGGTGTGTTTGTCAAACTCTTTCATCCACTCAACATCAATTTCTCTATCTGTCCAACCTTTTTTAGAGTATCCAATGCTATTAAAAGTTGACTATGATCATCAGCACGTAATTTGTCATCATTGGTCAGTTTGCTCACAATGCATTTGTAGGGTTATCTTGCTTCCACTTGGCTTGATAAGCATTGCCCTTGAATATAACTGCTGGTGGACTCGATTGCCATCAGTACAGATGGTCACTATTGCAGTTGTGTTTTCTTTGCTCCCAGTTCATTGTTGATACTGTGGCCTAGGTTTATGACTTCCAATGACTCGTTCAGCTTCGCCTTATTGTGCAGAGATCCCAACCTCATCAACTCCATATATACAATCTTCTGCAATGTCATATTGGTCCAACACATTTTCAAGAAGGTCAAACCATGCTGTGTTTGTGTTTGCATTGACAGCTCGGCCACATTTTGAGTCGAGTGAACTTGCTTAAGATGTTTTCAGATGGTCTGAGTGCTTCTCAACAAATCTGTTTGTCCAGCGTGTGCCTACTCCATGAAAGGTTTCTTCAAGATAGGCATGGCAAATTTCATCAATATGCTCTTGAAGCTGTTGGTGACTAAGTGGAAAATCTTGATTGCCCACCTCTTCTGCATATGTAAGAACATGCTCTGTCTCCACTTCAGTTAACCACCACCCCCTGAGAGCATTGGCCATAGCTTTTGTCCTTCCACCAGCTGCCAGCTGGATCAGTGTGGCATGAGATAATTTGATATAGTTACTAGTTGTTCCTATATTGTCAACTTGTCATATGACTGACAGGGGCTAACTGCCGGTAGCTACATGATAAAGCTGGCATCATACCTTTGAAATTTCAACAAACATGTATTAGTATGTTTTATCCTAATTTTATAAGGATTTTCAAAATATTTCTCTTACATCTTCCTTTGTTTGTCTTCCTTTTTCATTTCAGCATGCAAGCCTTGTCTTTCCATTTTATGTACTCTGGTCTACAATATGACATATGGTGCATCATTTTTGTTCTGTCCATTTCAAATTAATCTTAAATCTTTCATCTTTCATCTTTGACTTGTCCTTCTCATTCAAATGTCTTCTTACTAATATCTCCTTATCCCATGCATTGCTTATTTGGTTCACAGGTCTTTTGCAATCATAATTCCTGTTTTTTTCTGCTCAACCCTGCTTACGATCTATTTGCTCACCTGTCCTTTGCCATGATTCCACCACTTGCCTGAATATCCTTCTTTTATCTTCTCTCACCTTGCGGTGACCTGTCTTATGCTACTGCTAACTGGTTGCAAATCATATTATGGCCTCCTTTTTTCTAATCTTCCTTCTAATCTGCCTGCTAGTCCATACATCAGGAAACCTGAGTTTTCCCTGATTTGGCTGATGTGACTAACAGCAGGCTTACTAGTCAAATCAAACCATCAGTCAGTCAGATTTTGTCTGATATCAGACAGGTCACTTCTGAAATCAGACCAATGTCAGAGTAATCAGCATACCTACATTATCAGGTGCAGCATTTTGATCAGACATACAGTTCATCTAAAACATCATATTTATCAGACATGACAGCCTATCAGATTGATGGATGCTCATGAATGTCTTATCTTCAGCTTATCAGATGGGTCAGTGAGTCATTCTGTCAACAGTACCTTAAGCTCAGAGGCTCAGGATACCCAGCCATACCTGCTCTATCAAAGTAATCAATCTGTGTAGCCATAGCTTATTTTTCAGATTGCCAGAGGGACTAGTGAATTATCCTGTCAATACTGCCTTTGGCTCAGGTACCCAGCTGTATCTGCTCTGTCGAGATAATCTGTCTATACAGTTGAACTGAATCCTCAATACTATCTGAATAACAGGTCTGGCAAAATATCATAATGATCCTTAGTCCAGCCTACCCAAATATGCACCCTCACCCCTAGACTGTACCTGTGTATGGCGAGTCGGTTGTTTCCGATGAGCATCAATGAATGGAGCAGCACCCTTGAAGATCTTCTTCCATTTACGACGAGTGGCACCATCAATGGACTCCATGATGAGCTCTGTGCTGTAGCTCCAGAGTCCTTCTGTGAATTGTCGCTGAGAAGTCTTGGTTGGTTGAACAAATTTCCCCATCATCCACATTTTCCACGTTCATTCAACCTATAGACAAGTATCAGCGCAATGGTATCGAGCAAGAAATAAGACATACCGCAACTGTGGCAATAGACAATGCACCCTTTGGCATTTGCTCACAATGGTATTTAGTCGGGAGGCAGTGCCCATGCTCGAGATAGAGTGCAAATGTATTGAGGATGCATTGATCTTCGAAAGCTCCATAATAATTCTGTCAATGACATCAGTAAGTGACTCAGTATAAATAGTGGTACTTGCATCAGGATCTTTCTCATCTCCACGACACTCTTTCCACATATAAGGATAGATTGGAGGATTGATGAAGACCTTTTGTCCCTTCTCATTGACCCATGGGATCTGCTCAGGAACTATGTATGCCACTACTTGTTGAATCTCGTCTGACGTCCAGCCTTGTTCCTCAATATACTTTGCGATTATGATCTTTGCGCACTCTCCGAAGTCGCTACAATAGTTGTATGCACATTGCATCAACTGCATAGTCAAAGTAGTTAAGACAGTGTGCGCGAGTCGAAGTGGAGTACTTACAATTTTGTATACCAGGTCCTTCAACTTGGAAACAGTGTGCTTGATGTTTGGCAATGCAAGGTCCCATATAGTTTGCATCTCATCAGTGAAATCAGAGATATCCCACATGTTGTCGAGGGTGGAAATAAAATCAATCCGCATTGGAACAACAAGAGCATCAAAATTACGGTGTGAGCCTGAGGGCAGGTTGTTCTTTGTGAATTTGACACAAGTACGTGGCATTCACGACGATTCATCATTGCCATTGTCATCGTCATCATTGCTGTCATCACTGTCGTCTTCAGTGTTATACTTGTTGCTGTTGTGTTTGGACTGTGGTGCATTTGTAACAAATTAGAATGAACATCAGTGAAGTGCAAGAGCAAAAATAAACCTTACTTTGCGAGAGGGAGGATTGCATTTCCCTTGTTGCCTCTGACGTCCTGTGGCCCTGTTGTTATGATGCTCCCGATCCATGTTGCTGCCGTATCCACGATCCTTGGAGCGTGGCTTATCCCCAGCATTAGACTAGATAGATATTAGTAAATGTGAGGGACGTAAGGAAGTTGAATTACCTTGCCGGAGCCAGTCTTTGATAGAACCGGTTGCATGGAATTGGTTGCTGAGCCCTGAGGTTTGGGAGTAGGGCGAGTGATTGTGTGACCGACTACTTTAAACTGAAAGGTCACGATCAGTGAGATTAATGAGCCGCAAATCAAAAAAAGAAATTGCACACCTTCCACATGTAAGGTCTCGGGCTCTCAGATTCCAGGCAGGCACCATCATCCTGTTCCTCGCCATTATGTATGTCCTCATCATCCAAAGGAGGACACAAAGGAGGCTCATTGGGGGTAGGGCGAGTTGATGTTGCTGTGGAGGTTGCTTGGGCTGCTTTGTTGGAGGGAGGATTCTAAAGTAAAGGCAAATGAGTAGTTAGCATGCTGAAAGATATGCATAACAAAGAAAAGAAAGATACCATAATTATTTGAACCATCAAGGGTGTCAATAGAGGGTCTTGTTCTCCTTTATCAGGTCCAGGCGCCTCAAGCTGCTCATTGTTATCAAGCTCGTCCTCAAGACCGCCTGGACAGACAGTATTTTTGGATGCAGGTGAGCCATAATTTTGAGTTAATCAATTGAAAAAATGAAGTCAAGCATGCTAATACGCACCTGTTCCACCCTGCGCAGATTTCGGTGCAGCACCAGGTTTTTGACTGTGATTTGGAACCTGCACAAATACGACCTGATGCCAGTTGTTAATCATGCCACTCTGGGGTGGTTGTGAGGAAAACAGAAGGTCGTCCTGCTTGAGTTTTTTGCTGGAAGGCCTGCATTTCGATGGCAAGGGTGTTCGCAGGAGGGAGCATGACATTGTCGGTGTTGACAAGTGTTGATTGGTTGAAACATTGGTGAGTCAGCTTTCTTGAGCGCTAATCAGATTATCATTACTCACTCTCCATCTTTGCTGCAAGTGCAGCTCCTGCCCTTTTGCCGCTTCCTTCTAATGCCTTTGACATTGTCAACATCGCTGTCCACCACCACTACATCCTCCTCGTTCTCTGCCCTGCCCTTCTGTTGCTCCATAGCCCTCTCTTTGGCAGCCTCAATGTTTTTGTGCACCTTCTGAGCCTTGGTGAGCTTAGCGCCTGGCTTGTTGGATCCTGCTGGTGAGTCGCTGTTTTGGACCCCGTGTTCATTATTCTGATCGGTGTCTATCAGCATCACATCCTCTATGATTGTCTCATCGGCTGGGTCACTAAGCGCAGAGACTGAATCAATCACGTACATATATCCCCTGCTTTGCTTTATGCTATTGACGTAGTCTTACCGCTCAGCTTTCGAGGTACCTTTGAGACCTTTGATGTGGAGGGACGATTCGCCTGCAACAAGTCCTGTCCATCCTTCTCCGTCATCGCAAGCTCAAGCTGAGCTATTGCTTCTGTCGCTGCAGCTTTCTTGGCCTTCTGATATTTTTTTGTTGCTGCCTTCTTCCTGGGGAGCTGACAGTCTCTGATGTCGTCCTCTTTGTCCTTGTCATCGCTGTGCTCTGTGTTCTGTTGTCGACTCACAGGTAAGTCTACCTTTCCCGGATGCTTCGACTTGTTTGATGGATGAGTTGTAACCATCGTCAATGGTTAGGACATGCTCACGCCCGTGTAACAAGCAAGTTGAAGTTCCACCATGGGATTCAACTATTAACTGTGGGTGCACATGACTTTCTCACGAGAAAACATTGTAAGTTGTTTGATGCTCTACATTCAAGTTCTTTTGTTTCTGATCTAATATAATATGCCAGACTTCAGCTCAAATGCATAATGACTGAGCCAACCTCCAAATTCTGACCACGCAAATACTATTGTGTCAACTCTGAAGTTTCCACCTGTCAACATGGTTTCAAGACATTGGGTGGATACCGACAGCATCGCAATGCCATCCACATCGAACCTCTACGTCCCACCCGCCATCGTCAATGATGAGAAAGAGCTGGAAGAGATGCCTCAGGGCACCTACTTCACCTACCATCCAGTGTTAGATGGCACACCATGTGATGCTGAGGGCAATGATTCACTTCCAGACCAGCCTCTGGACCACCCACCTCACCCAGAACATGATACCTGGCATCCTTTTTCTTCCCATGGCCATTTCAAACTTGCCGACTTCATCTTCCGTCGCAATCAAATGCCTGCAAAACAAATAGACGACTTGATGCAGGTCCTTGCACATTTCGACGAGACTCACAGCCATCCACCTTTCAATAGCGACACCCATCTTTACAATACCATTGACTCGATCTCTTCCCATGATGTTTAGTGGCAGTCGTTGTCTCTCCGACATCCCGACTTTGAGATGCTCCAGAATGATCCCAACGCTGCTCCATGGAAACATGTTGAGTATGATGTTTGGTATTGAGACCCGCGTGAGCTGCTGCAAAACCAGATTTTAAACCCCGAGTTTGCTGGAGGCATTGACTATGCACCGCGACAAGTCTTTGGCGAGCAGGGTCAGCGGGTATGGACAGATCTTATGGCCGGAAATTGGGCATGGGGCCAATGTGTGAGTGACTGGTTGTGATTTGCGGGCCAGTGTTAATTGGTATGATTGTAGAATACCATTGCAGATGATCCAGACCACCACAGTGCTATGTTCGTGCCAGTCGTTCTCGGCAGCGACAAGACTACAGTCTCCATAGCAACTGGTCAAAATGATTATTATCTGTTGTATGTATCTGCCAGCAACCTTCACAACAACATCTGTCATGCACATCGAGAGTCTGTGAGTTTGGTCGGTTTTCTAGCAATTCCCAAGAGTATGTTCCCTTTGAATATGATACAAATATCCATTAATTGTGTGTCTATTAGCCGAACGAGGTCACGATGGAAGCAAAGAGTTTCGAACCTTTTGCCATCATTTATTCCAAGCATCATTACGGGCAATTCTTGAATCCTTTCATCATGCAATGAAAAAGCCAGAGATCATTAAGTGTGCAGATGGCCACTACCAATGTGCAGTCTATGGTCTTGGACCTTATATTGCAGATTACCTTGAACAACTGTTGTTATCGTGCGTCGTTCAAAATTGGTGTCCGCAGTAAGTCAGTTTCTGCTGCTCAAAGAGTACACTTCAAATCTAATTTGTACTGGGTCATTGACAGTGAGATTGCTGATCTCAAAAGCTTGGATGGGACACAATGTAGCCGAAGATCACACCTTCATATGAGAACTCTCAAGCAGGGTTTTTTGGTACTAGACATGTGGTTTGGGTGGGGTATCATTGATGATATTTTGGTAGGCCTTATCTCATAGTAGTAGTACTCAAGTCTTATCGAGTTGCAATAATTTTGTAGCCCTTATTTTCCGCGTGCCAATATCCACGAACTTCTTGCCTGCACCTTCAAAGACCATCTCGTCAAGTGGGTTGATGAGTACCTTGCAATAACATATGGCAAAGCACAAGCCGAGTTGATATGGGCTGATATTGATCATCTGTACTAAGTGATATCTAGTTGTTTTTTGAAATATTGTATTGACCTAGTAATACTTTAGCATTGCTGTAGTGCCATCATTTCCAGGTCTTCAATGATTTCCACAGGGCTGAGGATTCAAGCAGTGGACGGGTGATGATTCAAAGGCACTAATGAAGGTAAAAACAATTATTTATTCAGTTACTCTGGTTTCTAATACACGAGCTACAGGTCTTTCTATCAGCCATTGCTGGCCATGTCCCAGATAAAATGGTTCAAGCAATTAGTGCCTTTTTGGACTTCTGCTATATAGTCTGACATTCAAGTCTGGATGAAGGTGATCTAACTGCTCTTGATGCTGCCCTTCTACGCTTTCATAACAAGTGAAGCATCTTTGTGGACACAGGTGTTAGACCTAATGGGATCTCCTTGCCTCATCAACACTCTCTTTGCCATTATTGTCATCTGATCCAACAATTTGGTGCATGTTCCTCTCTTACTGAGTCAAAGCATCGCAAGGCTGTCAAGGAGCCTTGGCAAAGAGTTTGTATGTTGCTCAAGTCATTCTCTTTTTCTTTTTTTACTTTTGTGGAGTTGATTATCCTTGTGCACTTGTCCATTGGTTTGAAACTATTGGTGATCAGCCATGTCCTAAGACTGGTATGTGGATGGTTGAGCCAGAGTTTGATGTCAATGGTCAGCATCTTATTTCAGTCATTCACTTGGACACAATTTTGCGTCCAGCACACTTGATTCCTATCTATGGTAATGATTACATTGATCATGATATGCAACATTCTGATTCTTTGTTTGCTTTTGTGGCCTTTTATGTTAATAAATTTTCAGATTATCATGCCTTTGAAATTGCCTTTTGATTCAATACTAGTACTAGTAGCTACTAGCTAGTATTTGTATTACTACATACTACATACCCATGGGTATACTACCCTCCCAATTCTGCCGCCTGACCTGCCACATCAGTAAATTCACACATTCCCAAGGTGGGTTTTGTCACATGTTTTCGAAATGTAGTCTAAGCTGACTGACTTACTACCTACTACTAGTTTAGCATGATCCTTCTGCAGCTGCCATTAACATCGGGAACATCAATATTAAAACCTTTCTGGTGTAACTGTAGGCATCAATTTTTCTAACACTTTTTCTGTGAGATGTCAATGCTCACCAATGCTATTTCGATGCAGCAACATCAATATTCACTAAAATATTTCCAGTCATTCGAGCGCTGTCTCTTGCCCTCATCAAGTGCAGTAAGTTTCTTCTTCATTTTCCTTTTCTGTTACTAGTAACCTTCTGCTTCCCATACCCGGGCCCTCCAGCACCCTCCTACTGTGTCACTGATAGCTTGGATGCTCTGAGCGGCTGAGGTAAAAATAGAATGAGAGACTTGATATACTAGATATTCTGATACATGATCATTTGAATCTGTTGACATTGACATTATGATTACTGGAAACACACGCCAGACTGGGAGCTCTGCTATTATTGAGGTGTCTGCACCATCAGATAGGCTGAATATCTGAGTGTTTGACCACACTGATGTGTCTGACAGGTCTGACAATACTGAAATTCTGTCATAACTGTGTTCTGACATGGTCTGATCAGTTTGATTGTCTGGTGGTCCTGAGAGACCGATATCCTGCTTAGCCTGCTATATTTGACAATCATGATAGTCTGTGAATAAGATTGACTACTTTGTCTAATATGTTTGACCATTATGATATCCTGTTGACTGTGATCATTTTGTATATGATATTACTGATTAACTGTTAGTTTGACATCCTGATGCTCTGATAGATCTGACATCAGACCAGTCATGTCATACAGTCACATTAGCCAAATCAGGGAAAACTCGGGTTTCCTGATGTATTTGTCTCACTTGACAAGTCTCTGTGCTTCTGGTTTCATGTCATGATAACCTTTTACCACTAGATTCCAAACTCAAACTAATATTGGACCCTGTGCTCTCGATCATTGTTGCAATCTATTTCTATCAGTTCTGCCAATAAGTCATGTGTTTTTTTCTACCCTTGCCCTTACTCACATTCCTCGACAGAAGCATGCTATCTACCCATATCATCTTCTTTTGTTCTTCATGCCCGCACCATTCACCTCACCCTTTTGTACCAGATTCTCACATCAAACTTTTCCTTAGCTCTGCATCTTGTGTTTGAGTTTATCTGCAACATATCAGACCTAGAAGACAATGTATGAGTTTCAATTCCCCTCCTCCCCATCTTGACTTCAGCCTGATTATTTCCTCTCCAAGTTTTGACAGTGATGATGATCTGGGAACAATCACCTTTCCAGGTGCTGCACACCTAGGCGACCAGGATAAGCCTTGGCTGTTCAATCTTGCAGATGTTCCTTTGTCTGTGCAGGCAGAAAACACCTTGCCTCAAAGATCTTTGAGTGTTACTCACTCAAATAGGTCTGTTATGCAGAGCCCTAAGAGGGGCATCGTCCGCTAACATTCGTGACATAACCAGAAAGGGAAAGATTCAGTATAGCGAGTCAGACTGGTAACGTCAAGTTGGCAGATATCACAGATATGGCATGTGTCATGTGACTTCTAAGATGGATGTCCTTGAAGTCACTGAAGTCAAAGTAAGAACTGTCTTGTCCGAACGATGACCGTCAATTGAGGTAGACTTAGGTGTAATGAGCACCTAAGAAAGTCATACTAGAGACAAGAGCTAAGAGGCTCTTGAAGGAAGTAGTTTCGAGGGAAGAATGAGTAGATTCAAGTTAGAGAATCTAGTACAGGATGACCGACTACTGTCATATCCCATATATTCACGCTTCTCTTCCGGACTTCGGACCCTTAGATCCGGTCCGGTCCGATGCATAGATCCGCGTCTGATCCGATATCCGATAAGCTTCTTAATTCATTTTCTGTTCATATAATGTTAAACACAGCCTATTCGGTATTTCCTCTTCCCGGTGTCTCGGTTATACTTATTACCGGTATGATTACTGATCTGTTATCCTATGCTTCATTTCCGACTCGCGTTTGATAAGCTTTGCATATGCTTCGTACATAGCCTCAGACCTTTGCTTATTGATCCTTCCGTTATCCTCTTAGTATATAAACCCGTGTATATTTCCTGTAGTACCTCAGTTCGAATATCATCTTAGTTTGTCCTCTTTCTGTCCTCTGGACTTGAGTCTAAACAACTCTTGTCAATCTCTGAGACTTCAGATCGATTCTGATAGTCTACGTCTCCGCCTCTATCTTCGGATAGTCTATACTCTGTGTGTTTCTAGTCCGGATCCGTCCGGATTAGTCTTATACGCGTTTCCGATATCCGGAAGTCATCCGGATATAACTACGAGACTCGTCCGGACCTTCGGACGCGTTATCGTTAAGTCTTTGAAATAAGGGACAGTACTTGGGAAAGGGGCACAGCGTACGAGCTGAGGCCAAAGTCCTTTGGATCCGATCCTATGAGAGTACAACCTTAACAGTATATTTGAACTCACACCTTTCCAAGTACACTTACTCATATCATGGCTCCTACTAAAGTAAACCAAGCTGCTCTGCACACAGTCGGACTCTCATCCAGCCGACGCGATCCAACCTCCATAGTTAACGCCTTCACCAGTTTCTCGCAGCGTCGTGTCTCAAGCGAGGACATCTCGGACTTCGACTTTCCGCCCCATTCGCCCCATTCGCCCCATTTGTGCCATTTGTGCCAAAGATTATATAATCAAATACATGTGCAAACAACTTCCTGCACCGTACATGCAAAGTCTATGATGTAATCACACATCGATGAGCACTCAGTCGCTACTCCAGTGCTTGCAGGAATTGCAGGGTGTCCTGTCCCCTGTGACGGAGCTCTCACTCGCATCTATTGTCCGATTTGTTTTCCTTGCGACAAACCTTAAGAATGACATAGTCCTTGTTCAGCCAGGAGATTATGATCCTGGTTCTCCGCCTGCTAACCTATCACCGAGTATCATCCACTTTCTCTCTGCTAGCTGTCAAATTGTACTGGACGACGTGCTGGCTTTCTGGACAGCATTGAAAGACACTATCTGGCACGAGGAAAACTTCGGACTTTATGATACACTCCCTCTTTTCACGCGGTATGGGCAGAAATATGGTATCAGTGAGTCCTCTACTTGTCATCCTCTCGAGCCTGTGAACTTTACGGTGCTGCAGCCATATGTCTCCTCTCTACCCAGCACAGCAGACATGTTTCTCTCTTGGCTGCACCAACATGAAGAAACTAATGAGAGCAGAGCAGCGCCCTGCAATCCTATACACACTCGATCGCGGCCCAATTGCTACGTACTCTGTACATCTCAAATGTGATGGTGCGCATCTACCATATCATCTATGACACTGACTCAAATTTTATAGCTTGTCATGTTGGGTTCCATCACCACTATTCGATCGACTATAAAGTCCCTGCACATGATCGCAAGCGGACTTATTATGCGCATCCACCGGATGCGCTCCATGTTGGCGGCCATCAATATGTTGATATAGCAGTTGTGCGGATGTGGAGAGTACTGAATCTTGTTTCATGGTGAGTGCTATCCATAGCATCGCTTCATGATTCAGTGTTTCTAACTTGACTTTGGCAGGACATCCATGTCGAACTGCGCACGCTTCTATAACGTCTCCCTCTCAAAGGGTGCCGTGCCGCCACCTGACTTTCCTTTCAAGTTTGGCCTCTCGGGTGACCACGTCTGGAGCGGAGTTGTCCAACTCTCTCTCATCGAAGATTTACAACTTCGCGGTCAAGTGCTGGAGATCAAGCACGGAGGTGACCACAGGGACAGATTCACTGCACTAATACGTGCTCGCAACCTTCGCATCCGCCTCTACGGCCAGGAGGAGCTCCGTCATTATTGTACCAAGTGCACTGTTCTCCATGACGACAACAACAATGGCGCTCCTGACCGAAAGTTTTCCGTTGTCATTACAGATGGGGTCACTGTAGGCCATCCATGTTGCGGCATTCATAATTGCCATGAACCCCTTGCCAATAATCGCAATAGATTCTGTCCTGACCATCTCCTAACACACCTCTGTATCTGTGCAATAGTGAACTGCGAGCGCAGTGTCACACCCTCGACTAGGACATGCGATGACCCCACACACCAGGCTATCGAGAAAGCGTACACCCAACGTGGCCAGGCACGCTTTCAGCTTCAGGAACGCCTTCAGCGTGCATATGTAGCTTGCCCACGAACTCCGATACCAGTGATGTCACGATTGCTGACCTTGAGGCTGATGATCCCTTGGAAGAGGAGTTTGAAGTCCCAGTTGTTGTTGGTAAGGGATCTGTGGAGACAGCAAAGCAAACTAAGCCAAGGAAACTTTGCGCAAAGTTTGGTCGTAACCGTACCCACAATGAACAGTTGATAATTGCGCCATGTGGGATGATTCTCGCATGTGAGACATTTTATAGAGCAGAGGGTGTCACAAGTGTTGTGGTAAGGCAAATGCTTCTCACTCGCGATTGCAGACTAACTATGAGCGGATAGGAGATGATCAAGAGGGTATTTCGCGATGAGAGCATCAAGCCCAGCCATGTCTTTTACGACAACAATTGCACCTTGTCTTACCATGTTCGGAACGACCCTTACTTCAAAAGCATAGGCCTATCTGTCGATGTGTTTCATTTCCAGTGCAAGCATTCCATCGAAGATGCATGGTGTCAGGAACACTGCAACCCCGCCCACTTTGACGAGCTGCAGGATGTCAGCGGAAACTGGCTATTCAACTCCTCCATCGCAGAGCAGACAAATGTCTGGTTTGGGGGATATCACTCAATATGCCACGAGATGCTCGTGGACAGATACGTCTTCTTCTTAGATGAGATGATCCTTCAGAAGAATCGGCTCACGAAAGCAAAGCTACATGCAGAGGGGAGACGCCCTGGCAACTGGCCACTAGTAGAGTAAACAATTTGTTACTTGTCTTTATCATGCTCTTCTACAATATATAACCAACATGTCTTCATCTAACACGTGTCCAAATACCAATAGTGCCAGCAACATTTCTAATTAACGACACCAATACCACTGCGAACGCCGCACCCAGTTTTGGCTAAGATAGTCTGGGTGGTATGGCCCAGGGAAGGGGTTATACACCGCATAGGTGTCACCCAGCGCACCCATCAACTCGTTGCTGCCTTGCCGGTCAAAGTTGCCCAGCGGCATGATTTCTTACCCCTCTTATGGAGGAGACAGTATTCATAATATTATATTGTAGGTGTAGCTAGCTATATTTTCTTTGTTAACACGATTACTTTTGTCGAGCGTTTTACGACGGTTTTACGGTCACGTGATGCGTTCACGTGACTTTTGGATTCCGGCGCCCAGTTCCTTTTTCTGCGAGCAGCGACACGCGCGTCGTTTCTCGTTGTTGGTTGTTCTCGTTTTCAAACGCTCTCGACTTTCCGAGCGCTTGGGCTCGAACGGATTGGACGAACGAATAAAATAATACATGAATCCGACTTTTTAAAACAACATTATAACAAAGCAAAACGACGGATACAAAGGGCAAAGACTACAACAGCTGCGGTGTGACAAAAACGATCTAGGGATACAATTGTTGAGTTGCGGGGACAAACCGAGCACGCGGGGAGTGATGGTGCATAAAATACAATGCGAAAAAGATCGAAATGAGGGGGAAAATGAGAGTGTATGAACGTGTGTGGTTCGTGAATCGTGGATGTGGGGGTATAGCCTTCAGCGGGAGGAGGATGCTCGGACTTCTGGGCGGCCGTTCTTGCTTGCTCGACCGGTGATTTCTCCGCGTCCCTCACGCTGGCGCTGGATGGCATCGAAAAGTGGCTTGACACCGCGGGTGGCCTCAGGGTATGCTTCCAGAAAAACTTGATGGTCCCGCTGCAGCCTGTTTGAGGAAGTGTTTGAGTTGCAAACAATCGGGTGCCGCTTCTGAACCTGCCGAAACGGCGTGAAGGCCACTCACCGGTAGAACTCAATAGCAATCACCTTGCGGATGTTCCGCTTCACGCCAGTGATTGTACGCATAGGGCCAGTGTACCACTCCTCTGGCCAATCTTTCAGTCCCTTGCCGCCAATGGATGCTGCAGGATCCTCCCACTGCTTTACAGCAGCTAGCCATGCCTCTTGTCCACGCGGGAGGTCTGGGATTCCGATGCCGGGGATGGGAGCTGTCTTTTTTGCCGCACTGCGGCTATGCTGATGGCAGTCAGAGGGAGGCACCTGCAGCGCGGGGATGATGCGAGGAAAGGGAGAAGAAGCCGAGTCTACAGGAACCGGGCTGGGTATCGAAGAAGTTTCTGTGCTGCTCAGCAAAGAGGGTGGATTGGTGGCCTGATGGCACACGGTTGGTTGGACCGAGATTGGAGGTTGTGAAGGTGACGGCAAGAGTGAGGGATAAGGGGATGAGGCCGGAGAAAGAGTTAGTTTGTCTAGTACTTCCTCGACTTTACCAGACAGGCGGTTCAGTTCGCGATCGAATGACATCTTGAGTTCGCGTGTTTCCGCTGCGGTGATGGGTGCTGTCAAAATGTGGTCGCCGTTGAAGCTTTTGTCGCCTTCCCGAGGAATTGGGCACAGCGCGTCCCGGTGATTTTTCTCATATTGGGTGAGCTCGTCCAGAAGGTACCGTATCAGCGTATCAACCTGTCCAAGTTGGGAATCAGTTCATGTTACAGATTAGCAGGCCAACTCACGCTTTCGCCTGCAGCCCACGCACCCCACCAACGTATTGTAGATAGTGACCAGCGCTCTCCGAGGGGTGCAAACATAAACCGATACCTCGCACCACCTCGGCGGAAGCAATGGCTGGTGTACCTGGCTGTCAGCCCAGCCTCGGCGCAAATCCAGGTCAGTGTCTTCATGACAGCGTCGTAGGACAGCTCGTCGGAAGGGTAGACGACACCATTTGCACCGACGCGCGGAAAGATGTACTCTTCAGGTTGCAAGGGCCGTTGGAGAAGTACCTCCTCCAGGAAACTCACCCAAGCTCGCAGGTGTGTGAACATACAGATTTCGGGGGTCTTCGGCTGAGCGTAGACCTCATACTCATGACCTGGTAGTTACAGAGTCAGCGCCCTCATCCGGCAACCCAATCGAAAATAGATACCTTCGAGTGCACCATCAATTTCCCCCTTCCGCTGCCAGCCTTTACGGTTGACGAGGCTCACGAGGTCGAAGGGAATGCCATAAGGTGGGTGTCCCTGGCAGTTCCAAACAATGTCTTTCCGCTTGATCTTCGTCAGTTCAAAATTCCTGTGGTGAATGAGTGCATGCATCAGTCCAGTCAGTCTGAGTCCCTGAGGCGATGAGGGCAAAGTGGCCCGAATTTGAAACCTAGCGTACCGTGTCCAGATTGTGATTCCCGTTGTTGAGAATGCGCGCACCATGAGGTGCCGCTGGGCCAGAATCACATCAGCCACGTCAAGGGTTGACCTGCCTTCAACAGACTGGCGAACGTGGCTGACAATTCCATCTGGACACTGGCTATAGGACCAGGCCATGAGTTTCTGCATGTCCTCGATGGTCATGGCCGACACGTGATTTCTGCTTCCACCTTCGGCACCCTCGTTGTTCTTGAGGACTTCCATCATATCCTGTGCAGCCGCAGACAAGGCTGGGTTTCCTGTGACCACCCCAGTGCCCTCATTGCAGTGATAGGGACCACGGTAAGTCTCGCCCTTGCTGTGGAGTCCTGAGGCCTCGAACACATGCACAGAAATAGACGAGACGTACGCGTTCTTCCACATGTCCTTGAACGCGGAAAAGATGCCCCACGTTGTGCTCAAACTCCGTCCCTCCGTCAATCCCTTCTGGACAAGGAACAGCTCGAGTGCTGATGCCGAGTATCTGTTAGGGATGATGTCGAACGCGCGACTGTATGCATCGATATCAGACTCGCCATCAGCTTGAGAGTGAGTGCCCTCTGCTTGGGTAGTTCTCTTCTGCTCAACAACGACCGCGAGAAACCGTCGGCCCCGTTCAAGATGGCCGGCGTACTGCGATCGAGTCCCTTTTGCCTTCAGCAGTGTTTGTCGTGCTTCTTCGCGCTGTTCCTGAAGAGCTGAGGTCGAGGCAGTAGCTGCCTTCTGTCCTGGTTTATTTACGGCCGCCGCGATTTTCTTTGTTGTGCCCCGTGCCATTGGTTTAAATTACAATATAGTATAGAGTATGATTAGGATAAATATGATCGAGCGGATGAGAAGGAGGTGTTGTACGAGCGGGGTGTCACGCTCTAGATATGAATTATAGGAGTCAGTACATATAGAAGTTCAAACACTTAGAGGGGCTTCTGGCTGCATCTTCGCCTTTTTCCACAGCATCAAACAACAGCGCCGGTTTGCACTCGTCACATCGTATGAACTACACACTGACACACACCTCTCTACAGCCACAATGCTCCAGCTCACGTTCTTCAAAGACAGCACAAGAGGACAACAGCCCAGCAGCCATTCTACTACAACAGCTTCAGGCGCGTCCACCATTCATAGCGACGTACATGAGGGTGACATCACACACTTTGCCCAGGTTGGCTTCGACGCCTTAGTCCAATCGCTTGCGGTCCAGCAAGGGTTTCAGGCGGATGTCATCAGGACCGTTTACAAGTACCTCTCAAGCTATGAGAAAACGGTTGAGGTCATTGAGGCGATGAGGGAGGCAGCCGAGGTGCACGCCGTTGCTGAGATTCTAAGCAGGACAGAGGACGATGACGTTGAGGACGACAGCATTATGGATGATAGCGTCAAGGAAGACAGTGTCAAATCGGAGGAGGAGGAATAGGTGTATTGCCAAGGGGCCATAACTTAAGAGAGTCACTATTTACGTGGAAGCATCTGTAGCAAGAGATCATGTTTGAGATCTGAGGTCCATGTTATAATCAAGCAGTTGACAATAGTAGTGTGATCAAGGAGATGCTGCCCATGGTGAGACGGAATGATCGCTCATGATGCCTCGTATCCGATTGTATACTGCGGCAGGGAATTGTCTTGACAGAAGTCAGTTTCAACCATACGAGCCAGGGGATATGGATGTACCTTTCCTGTAGCCGTGCCAGCAGTGCGACCGCTCTGTCGCGATAGCCATTACCTAGCTCTGCACAGAACATAGCTTCCCACGTAGATGGCTGGAAAGCAGGGTGAATTCTCATCCACGTGTATTTGCTGTAATACTTACCTCATGGTACGACAGGGATGGCGATGGGGATGTACGCTGATTGGAGCCTTCATGAGGAACATGGTTACCTGAGGCTGCGACGCCGCTGGGAGGATCCACCAAGTTCTCAAATATTCTTCGAGCTTCTTCAACGTCCCTGGCGGCAGCATAGCCCTTAATCAGGAGATTGGCGATGTACGCCGTCATATGTACACCAGACGACTTCAATTTCTCCATGTAACTGGGTGCAAGAGCCATCTGCTTGTTGGTGACGAGCATATTGATGAGGGATTCATAGGCGACAGCATCAGGTGTTGGGATAGAGTCGAAGGTAATATGCATCGATGAGCAGCTGAAACGCACATTAAAGATGAGCAGATAATACAATTAAATAACATACCTTGTATGTGTGCGCAGAAGGCTTGACACCGGCGAGAAGAAGCTGATCGTAATAATGGAGCACTCTCTCACGATCAGGTTTTGTGTGCGCATACAGTTGCATCATCATATTGTAGGGTGGGATGCGAGGCTTGAAGTTGGGCTGTGCAGACATCTCCAAGAACAACTGCTCGGCAGACTGAGCATCACTGACACGTGCGCAAGCAGCTATGACGGCGCCGTATGTGATTGAGGATGGGCGGATACCAGGCGTAGCCTTCATCTGCTGGAACAGCTCGAGTGCGAAGTCAGCCTTGCGCGCTTTGGCCAGCTTGGAGATGATCATGTTGTATAGGTAGACATTCGGTGTGCATCCAAGCATCCAAGCATCACTGAAGAGAGCCATGGCATTCAAGGTGTCATCTGTGGTGTCCTTGACACATTCTATGAGAGATCCGTAGGCTATGGTAGTAATCGTCTGCGCACTTAAATATGAAGTACAGGCATCGGGAACAAAGCGGATAGCAAAACACAATGGAAGTGCATTGTCACCACCTCCTTGATGTGTTCCATTTGGAGATCCGAACACTTCGTTATTGATGACAAAAGCTCCTTGTATTCTGGACTTGTTTTGAAGTAGTTTAGCTGTGCTGGTTGGTCGCACAGAATCCCCGTAGAGGTGCTGCTTCCGATGGACAGACGTACTGCTGACGCAGATCTGCAGAACGAGATAGGCATTTCGAGACAAGGTAGCAATGTTTCATGGCTTACCTCGTATCTGAGCTTCGGGAGCATTGTCCAACTTGGACAAGGCCAATCGCTAGGTGTATCACTTCGTAGGGTGTACTAAAGGCACTGACTGCGGTTTCACTAGCAGAAAGCACGAGCTTCTCTGCGAGGGGTATACTGTATGGTCTTGGGGCGGGACAGAAGGATACCATCTCTTCGTAGAGGAGTTCTTTGAGCTGTTCACGGCTGATATCATCCTTGTGTACTGCCGAATATGGTAAATATGCATGCGCGCTTATCAAACCTGAGTACCTACAGTCGAATTCAAAGAACTCCAGGTCGAGCGGTGGTGCAACTGGTTCATCATCGGGATCGTGCTGAATCACTGGTAAGCTTGTGCGTTCGAGGAGTAAGAAGTACACATACGTATGCTTCGAGGTATGGGTGAGCCAAAGCCTCTTCGACTGTTATGTGTTTCTTAGGATCAAATGTCTAAGAGAAATGTTTGAGCTACCACTCAAATAAATGAGAATATCGTGACTTACGAGAGTTTTCGTCAAGAAATCTACAGCCAAAGTATTGGCCTTGGGGAAGATTTGCGCAAACAGCCGGCATTTGCGGAAAGGAAGAGCTCGAATATAATCGCGTGATCTGCGTGTGGTAGTGGTGTCAGGTGAATGCTCTCCCGAAGAGAGGTGATCCCTGTCTGGAGACAAGTAGTGGATCCCAATGCTAGTGAAGGGCTGAGACTGTATGCGGGAGTGTGGCCACGCGAAAGGTGACGAGCTGGTCGAGTTGGAGGAGAATAGTCTTATGGAAATGCTTGAAGGACTCGTTGGATTTGAGCTGCTTGTTCAAAGTGCTGATGAAGAGCACTACAATTTGTTAGGAATGCAGGTCAAACATGCAACACATCGGGACTCACGAGTGACAATGTCGAAAACAACACGCGGGGGTGGCGTCGCAACCACCAGTTGTCCGCTTTGGATCCTGCGAGCCATGTGCAGTGGATGCGCAACTGCTGTCCGGCACCCAAGCCGATGATAGTGCCATTCTTGGTGTATGAGACACTGTTAGACTGTGTGTACTTGACTGCGAGGGTCACAGCGATGAGATCCGTCAGTGCTTGCGTTGGGACCTATGGAACAGTTACGATTTGTGTATTACAAAGAGAGTAAAGACATACGTCTTTGTTCTTGGTGACAAGGTTTTCGAATAGCTTGGCGTCAATTTTGACGTCGTTTCAGCGCTGCTGGAGGCTGAGGCCATATACTTGGCGTGTCTTGATATCTGAGGGCTTGTATGACGGGTCCATCTTTTGGTAGTGTGAGCAAACATAATCGAGCTGTGTAATCGAGCAAACGTACCAGTTGATATTTTGGGACGGTTCTCTACATATGCAATGTATACCGTCAGACCGCCCATAAGCACTAGAATGACGAGGAGGAATATGAATTGGGTTGTGAGATGGGAGGCATGATTCCATATTGTGGCCTGAAATACACGATGAAGCGGAAAGTATGGGTGCCCTGCTTCACTTGAGGTGAGTGCAAGAGCATCGGCCTTTGCAGGATGCGTATAAAGCACCCCGACGCATCAAGCACTCGTTGATCCCCAAGTGAAGCATCAGCACTTCAGCAGTGTAGTACCCAAAATAAAATAAAATAGAGGTTTCCCAGGGCAACCTCGGTGCCCAGGGACTGAGCTGTGCAAGTTAACAGCGGACGTTCACGGATCAGCGCCTGAGCAACTGAAAGTGTCCGCGTACATCTGGGAGTGAGGCTGAGAGCAGCGGCTGCATGATGAAGATAGTATTAGTGCAGGACAAAGAGCAGTACAACCAAAGAAAGGCTATGGGGAACACCACAGATCTAGCTCAGATCTTGAAGCATGGTGCACCAAATCTAGCTCAGATCCACCCAAAGGGCCCGAGCCATGGTTACAGACAAGACCACATCGGCGTTGAGCCAACCGTGTGGCTGGATGAAGACGAAGAGCGGTGTGATTGTGTAATGTGACAAACGGTCACACTGCCTTGTTAGGGCAGCGCCCCTGGTCTGAGAGTGAGGCAGCGCATTGTAAGTGGCAAGTGGCAAGTTGGCAACATTATACATACCTGTAGGAACATTCAGAGTAGCAGAGGTAGTGGTGTAAATGTGAGGCTAAAGTCAAAGCAAGATTTTGAAGGGAAGGGAACCAGAAATGCAATTTTCGCTGCGCTGCGCGCAGCATTTTACAAGAAAAGAACGGTAAAGTGCCCGCCACACTTTATTTTACGGGTGGCTGAGAGCTCCAGCAGTAGAATTGTACTGCTTGAACAGTACAGGCGGGCGCACTCGATCAATTTCGCGGCTCGCCATCAATCAAGCCAATTGTAACACTTATATTACACAGTGAGCGTATATACAACTATACATTAACAAAACATGGATAACGCCGTCTTCCTGCGTGTCCGCACAACGAATTTCGACAGAATCACGTCGCAACAGCGCGAAGGTTGTTGGGACATGACGTGGAAACATAAGGAGCTCAGCGGGCTCCGTTGTGGGGTGCTTTCAGTGCTTGCAAGTGGCGTGGGTCCCCTGGATGCAGGCATTCGCAATGCGAAGACGACAAAACGGGAGTTGCAGATCGGCGCGTTGAAACCGAGGACGCGTTATCATAGTGTAAGTGTTACTGGTAGGTGAGACGCGCCGGGTCGCAGATTTGTCAGCGAGGTCACGTGCTTTGGTGTTTTACGCGCCTGTGGTAAAATGAGGCAATAAAACCAACTTTCCTTGGGCCACTTAGAGGGGGCCAGCGCGCCCCCAAAACTGTTCGTGTTAAGAGTTCTGCCTCAGAGGTAAGTTAGCTATACCTATACCACAGGGTATTGAAAATGTTTTCTTCGGTTAACAAAGAAAACATTTTCAATACCCTGTGGTATAGGTATAGCTAACTTACCTCTGAGGCAGAACTCTTAACATGAACAGTTTTGGGGGCGCGCTGGCCCCCTCTAAGTGGCTCAAGGAAACTATAAGAGGAGTAAGAAATCGCGCTGCTAGGTAGCTCTGACATGCTGTTCTACAATATATAATCTTATGAATGCTCTCTCTCTTCCATAAGAGGAGTAAGAAACTGTGCTGCGTTTGCACTGGTGCCGGCGTTGTTATTAGAAATGTTGCTGGCATTATTGGTATTTGGAGACGTGTTAGATGAAGACGTGTTAGAACCCACAAAGCTTCAATTGATAGTGTAACCATGAGTACATCCACAAGTTATTGACAATACCAGTAAGGGAACCATAAGATGGTGACAACGGCACAACGAATGAAAAGGAATAAGAAAATAGACATAGAATAGTGCCTGTGTTCACCCTTGCAGTCTTCCAAGGCGCTTCTTGGCGGCCTTCACATCTGCGCCAGGCAATGGATTTGCCTTCATGAATGCTGAATATGAGCCTGGATCACTCTTGCCTGCTCATATAAACATGGTTCTTGAAGATGCCGGTGCTTGGTCCCATCGTTTCCGATGCTCTGAGAAGGTCGAGGGACGGAAGTGTACACCCCCTCCGAATGCCAGTGAGAACGCAGCGTGAGAACACAGTCCGACTCTGCGGGATTTGTCGTATTTCTTGAAGCCATCTGCGATTTCACATGCATAGAAGCTGGTAGGCCAGCGCCTGACATTGTCAAAGGCATCAACATCAACAGCATCCTCAGGAGAGTGACCTGAAGACAGTGATGAACACTCAGATACAGTAGAGGGGTCGCTCAGGCTGCCGCTGTCCGATGATGCACTGTGGCTACTGTCCGACGACAGTGAACAATGTCGACTTGGATGTGGCACATGTTGATGGGGAGTGATGTTGATGTCGACCTCGGAGCCAGAATCGGAAAATAGCTCAATCACGTCCTGCAAATTAGCGTCCACAGCGTGTTCATGTTTTATTGCCAGTGGAGGCGAGTTTGGTATTGAGAATGACCGACGTGGTGTCAGAAGTGTGCGCTCATGTTTGATGATCAATGCAGGCGAGTATGGACGAACAGCTGAGGAGCCAGCAGTGTTTGTGCACACACGGCGAGCGTTGCCTCACAGTGAGTGACCTGAATGCTTACGCTTCCGCATATCTTCTGGATCCTCTGAATCGGAGGCTGCGATGCTAGCAGCCCTAAGCTGTGTGCGTGTGTTGGACAGACGAACGGCAGCGCGCTCAGCTTTGAGATTGGTGCGAATATTGGGAACAACATGAAGAGAGTTGCTTTCGAAGATGTTGTCGAACTCGGGAGTGATTGTAACACCTATGGTCCGCATGTACACTTGACGGCTGTCGAGCATGAGCGCGTGCCCTTGCTGGACTGTCGACCATCGGCTCCTCGACGCATTGAAGTATTGGACTTGAGCCTCTGCGTCGTCTCCAGAGCACAGCCCAAGCACACGAAGTACTTGTGCAGTCACCTTGAATTGCGGCAGGGTGATGCCTTCTTGAAATTCGCACATGGTCACCTCTGCACCGTCCTAAAGCTGCTCTTAAGACACGTAACAGAAACCCATACTTCGGAAAACACACCTTTGACCATCCATAGACTTCCACAGTATTCTTCATGCGATGCTCGAGATTATGCTGCTCGGCAGCTTGGTGCGCCGTTGCCTTCAACTGCTGTTCTTGTTCAGCATAGCGCTGAGTGAAAACAGGTGGGAGTTGCGATGGGTAACGAGGGTTGGCATGTATGTCAACCTCTGATGGAGGCAGTGCCCGATCTTTACCCTTGTTTGAGGGGTACGAACGTCCCTCTGAAGAAGCGTGGGCAATGGCGGGAGTAGGCACCTGTGAAGGGGTATAGGTGGCACCAGAAGAAGTAGGCAGCTGTGAAGGGGTGTGGGCGACAGCGGAAGAAGTAGGCACCTGCATGTTGAGTGAGATCGTGGGGCTAGGAGCAGGGGCCGAGTGTACTGCTGAAGGGCCAGCCTTGGCAGGTTGGGATGGTGGCACTCGAAGGACAGGGTCAATTGCCATGTTTCGCTGACTTTCGGCAGGGGTGGGCTTGTGGGTCTTCGAAGAACACCCACCAAAGGCAACACAATGCTTGCGACAACACAAGTTTTCGCAATCTGGTGCGATCCATGTGAACTTACATCCAGGTACAGCGCACAGGCGTGGTTGAGAGGACGCGTCACCAACTGGCGGTGGTGGTGGTGGTCCAGGCTGGGTTGGCATAGGCTGGGTTGGCATAGCGGTACTGTGGGGAAGGACTGGTGATTGTGTGGGGGATGATCTGGGTGAGCCCCAGTGGAAGTACTGGCATGATTGGTTGTCTGAGGAGCGTTTACATCGGCACTGAATTCTCAGTAGTTAGCGCAATGAAACTATAGACATAAATAGATATACATACTACCGCATACCAACGACCTTGATTGCCCTTTGAATTGTCTTTGCAAACCTGCCATTCGGCAGGTTCGGAACATGATTGACATATAGCGACCCATTCGGGCCGGATGAAGGGTGTCGTAGGAGGAACAGACGACATGAATACTATTGCAGCGTGATACAAAGAACTAATAGAGGGAGCGTGTTGAAGGTAAGCATTTAGAGTTGTACACTGAATGAAGTCCGTCAGCACCAGTGCACCATGGAGCAAAGACCAGTGCAACTTACATGGTGCCAATACATACCGCTTATTAATATGCAGGGCGGGTGAGGAGAAGATGGAGGTAAGGACAAAGCGTCATAGTAGTCATGTCACGGACTTTGTCTATTACTAATCGTGGGAAAGAATTCGGCACGAACACGAATGGGGTGAACCGGGGCGAAAAGTCGAAGACTGAGACTTTCTGTCTCAAGCGGTCCTGCTCAAAGTATTTCTCAACTCTTGAATCGTCCGCATCCGGTGACTCCTATGCCTACACGTACTGCCGCTGGAGGACATCCGGATGATTTCGGAGGTAATCTGGATGATGATCCGGACGATGACGACGAAAATGACGGACTAAACCCACAAGACCGCATCATGCTCCGGCTTTCCGAAGCCATTGACAATCTCGCATGCAACAACCGTCGTCCCATCTTGTCCGAAGATTCCAAAGTCAAGATCCGTGAACCCGATACTTTCGATGGCACTGAGCCTCGGAAGCTTCGTGCATTCTTCGTCCAATGTGAGCTTCATTTCCAAAGCAAACCCAAGTCTTTCCGTACCGGACGGGCTAAAGTCAACTTCGCCCAATCCTACCTTAAGGGTATGGCACTCGAGTGGTTCGAACCGGACCTCCTATCTGACGAGGACAATGATCGTCCGGATTGGATGGATGATTACTCCGCGTTCATGTTAGAACTACAAACCAATTTCGGACCTCACGATCCGTCCGGTGACGCGGAACAACAACTCGAACAACTTCACATGTGTGATGGACAACACATTAATAAATATGTTGTTGAGTTTCAGCGTCTTGCTTCACAAGTCCGTGGCTGGGGTGACGGTGCCCTAAGACACCAATTCTATAACGGACTTCCGGCTCGTATCAAAGATGAAATCAGTCGCATGGGTAAGCCTTCTACCCTTTCCGAATACAAGACCCTTGCCCAGACTATCAACGCACGATACTGGGAACGGAAGGGAGAAGTTGCCCACGAAACCAAACCCACCACCTCCAATCCACCTAAGCAACCCACTTCAGACCGGACGAGTTCCAACCCGTCCGGATCCACGAGATTCAAATCCAACAAACCCGCTACTTCCGCATCCTCCTCCGCCTCTAAAGCTCCGGACCTTACCTCCAAGCTAGGTAAAGACGGAAAGCTCACGTCCAAAGAACGTAAAAGACGGATGGATAATAAACTCTGTCTATTCTGCGGCGGACCCGGCCATTCGGCTCAGGAATGCACCAAGTCTACTTCACGCGCTGCCAAAGGCCGTGCTGCAGTAGTCACTCCGGAAGACAAACTGGAGGCTTCAGATGAAGCAAAAAAATAGTCCGCAACCCTCCTGACTCCGCACGGGATGAGGGTTGCGTTGACTCTACCCGTGCAACGGAGCTACGTCTCAACGCTGTTTCTCTTTCCGATCTGAACTCTCTATGTCCATACATTTCTCTTCCTACTTTTCCTGATATTTCCTCGTTTCCTTCTCTAATAGATTGTGGTTCCTCACATTGTTTTATAGACTCTGATTTCGTTCGAAAAAATAAAATCCCTACATATCCGATACCTCCGCTTTCTCTCCGTTTGTTTGATGGTACTTGTAATAATATGATTTCCGAAGCTATAGATTTGCCCATTCGTTTTCCGTCCGGTGTAGTCACCTCCGATACGTTTTACGTTACTCCGTTGGATTCTTCTTGTTTTATCGTTCTAGGATATAGCTGGCTCACCCTACACAATCCGTTGATTGACTGGGTTTCGGGCAGCATTGATTTCCAAACGACTTCTCATGGAATGCCTTCGACACCTCCGACATCGCTTCCGTCTCCGGATACCCCTCCTCCGATGGAAGATTTACCTCCTCCGACTACATCCGGAACCTCCGCTGATACGACGATCCCCAATATTTCCTTGATAAATGCAGTTGCCTTTTGCCGGGCCTGCAAATTGGAAGGATCGGAACAGTTCAGCATCTACCTTCGTCCGACCGGTGTAGACCTCCGGTCCGCTACCCTTTCGTCAGATCCTCCGGACCTATCCAGGATTCCTCCGGAATATCATGAATTTTCGGATGTGTTCGATAAAGGCAAAGCTAGCCAACTTCCTCCTCATCGTCCCTACGATCTCAAAATTGAGTTAGAAGAAGGAACTAGTCCGCCCCTCGGAACCATTTATTCTCTATCTGCAGTTGAGCTCGCAGCCCAGCCCTCCGGAAGTTTCTTGATGAAAACATTTCATCTGGACTCCTCCGTTCCTCATCCTCTCCTCACGGAGCTCCTGTCCTGTTTGTCAAGAAAAAGGATGGCTCCCTTCGCCTCTGTGTAGATTTCTGTGGACTTAACCAGATTACCAAGAAAGACCGATATCCGTTACCCCTCATTACCGACCTTCTAGACTCTCTGAGCCGTGCTGAAGTATATACCAAAATCGACCTCCGATCCGCTTATCACCTTGTCCGGGTAGCAGAAGGAGACGAATGGAAGACTGCTTTCCGAACACGCTATGGCTCTTATGAATGGTTGGTGATGCCGGAAGGTCTCACTAACGCTCCGGCCGCATTCCAACGCTTTGTCAATAGCGTGTTTGCTGATATGCTGGATGTATGTGTTATCGTATATCTGGACGACATCCTCATCTATTCCCAAGACCTTGCATCCCATAAGGAACATGTCCGAGAAGTTCTCCTCCGTCTCCGAAAACATCGACTCTATGCTAAACCCGAAAAATGCGCGTTCCACACCACATCCGTTGAATACCTTGGTTACCTCCTATCTCCGGACGGCTTGACCATGTCGTCCGAGAAGGTCCAGGCCATTGTCGATTGGCCGGAACCTCAGAAAGTTAAGGATATTCAATCCTTCCTCGGATTCGCAAATTTCTACAGTCAATTCATTTTCAATTACTCGGATATCGTAGTTCCGCTCACCCGTCTTACCCGCAAGGGGGTTACTTGGGACTTTTCCGATGATTGTCGGAAGTCTTTTGAAACATTCAAGAAAGCTTTCACGTCCGCTCCGGTGCTTACGCACTGGATTCCGAATGTTCCGATAGTCGTAGAAACCGACGCCTCTGATTATGCTATAGCCGGTATACTTTCCATAGTATGTCCGGACTCAGAGCTTCGTCCGGTAGCCTTTTACTCTCGGACACTTACCGCTCCGGAACTCAACTACGACACTCACGATAAGGAACTTCTAGCCATTCATGAAGCTTTTCGGACGTGGCGACATTACCTTGAAGGCTCTGCCGAGCCGATAGACGTTGTCACGGACCACAAGAACCTTGAGTACTTCTCTACCACAAAACTCCTCTCTCGCCGTCAGGCCCGCTGGTCGGAATTCCTCCATCAGTTCAATCTCGTCATCTGTTTCCGTCCCGGAAAACTCGGAGCTAAACCGGATTCCCTTACTAGACGCTGGGACGTCTACCCTAAAGAGGGGGATAAGGACTACGCTCGAGTTAACCCTCATAATTTCCGTCCGGTATTCACTTCGGAACAGTTAGCTTCGTCCCTACGAGCCTCAACCTTAGCAACTCTGGTTCTTAGGGCAGCCATTCTGATAGATATCGACCAGCTCCGGAAAGACATCCTGACCGCACTTCCCAATGACCCTATCGCGTCCAATCATCTTCCGGAACCTTCGGATCCGAGATGGACGGTAGACGATAGTGGTTTCCTCCGCTGCGACAACCGTATATATGTTCCGGAATCCAATAACCTCCGAAATACTCATGATCACCCCTTGTCCAGACATTTCGGTCAAAATCGGACACTAGACCTCATCCGACGCGAGTATACTTGGCCAGGAATACATACTTATGTCAAGGACTATGTCAAGTCCTGTACTACCTGTGGCCGAGCTAAGGTTCCGAGACATAAACCATACGGATTGCTAAAGCAGTTACCCATACCGGAAAAGCCTTGGAATTCCATCTCTATGGATTTCATAGAGCATCTTCCGGATTCATCCGGCTTTACAGCCATCCTCGTCATAATAGACCGTCTATCAAAACAAGCCATATTCATCCCCACCCACGACACCATTACCTCTCCGGACCTTGCTCACCTGTTCGTCCTCCATGTGTTTTCCAAGCACGGAGTTCCATCTCATGTCACTTCGGACCGAGGAACAGAATTCGTATTGCATTTCTTCCGGTCCTTAGGAAAAGCATTAGATATGGTCCTCCACTTCACATCCGGATATCATCCAGAAGGAGACGGACAAACCGAACGAGCCAACCAAACCCTAGAACAATATCTCTGGATATACTGCAACTATCAGCAGGATAACTGGTCGGAACTACTTCCTTTGGCAGAATTCGCTTATAACAACGCTCCGAGTGCTACTACCGGAGTATCACCCTTCTTTGCCAATAAGGGATATCATCCGAACCTGTCCGTTCATCCGGAACGTGATCTCTCCTCCGCCCACGCACGAGACTATGCAATAGACCTTGACGAACTACATCAGTTCCTCCGAGAAGAAATGGCCCATGCACAAGAAAGATATCAAGGTCCTGCGGACGCCAAACGGAAACCTGCTCCGGATCTGAAAATCGGAGATCTGGTCTTCGTCAAAGCAAAATACTTCTGTTCCACCCGTCCGTCCAAGAAACTCTCGGAAAAGAACTTAGGTCCATTCGAAATCATAGCTCGTCCGGGTACGCACTCCTTCACCATCCGACTTCCGGATTCCATGCGTTCCATACATCCAGTTTTCCATATCTCGCAATTAGAACCAGCATCCTTGAATACTATTCCTAATCGTATCCAACCACCCCCGCCTCCGATCAAAGTCGATGGAGAACCCGAATATGAGATATCCGAAATCCTAGACTCCAAGTTAGACCGTCGGAGAAGACAATGTCAACTCCTATACCTTGTCCGATGGT